AAATTCATAAATTTTAAAATTTAAGTTGAAAGGTTTCCAAGCCTCAGTGGAGGTCCTTTAATGCTAACATTATATCTCTTGAATTCCTGAAAAGCATTTCTGAATAGGAAGGTGAACAATAAAGAAAAATGTTTCAGATCTTCTGTTTTATGGTCCACCGAGCTTTTTCGCTTTATATCTTTTGAACTTGTTCAAAGCAAACGCAAAAGCAGTCGAAATTAAGGGTCTGGTAACAGTTCAGACTAAGTAAATACAGTAAAAAAGGTGACCAAGAATACTTAGAGTAGCTGTTTGTTTTATTTTAATGTCATCTTACTCGCAGTGGTAATGGATTCTTAATTAATCAACACATGTTATGACTTTCTGTAATAACATCATACTTGTTTGAAGTGGGCGAAGATAGACATTAAGTTATTTGTTTTTTTTTACAACATTTTCTACAAAACAAGCTTATTATTATTACCTCTTGGCTTTGAAGAATCCGGCCTTTTTAGATCACTTTCGAAAGGATTACTTTCAGCATTGTTAGCAACAACAGATTCTGAAAGAATTTTGATGATAAGAATAGGAAGATAAAATAATAATACTAAGAAATGATAATAATTTTCTCAACAATCGTGTTGATGATAGCACAATTTCCTTAAAGAATGTTTACTATTTTATAATGTATTTTATTTTGTTGATGTTTTTTTCGGTAAATAGCTAAATTTGATCTATTAAATACCATAAATGCACAGCTGAGAGACATTTTTATGCCAAATCTGTTTGTGTTGAAAATTGAAAACAATGCACTTCATTTACCGCATGATTTGTAGAAAAAAAGTCACAAGAAGCTTAGATTTAAATTGAACATTATTCAGTTTTTGAATTTCAAAAGATACTTCAAATCTTGAATTCCGTTGTAGAGGATAATTTGAATTATTAATGTTCAGTACCTTGACATGACAATCAACAATCGACAATCACTATTCAATGTTTGGCTAGAAATCAATATTCAGCTCAATAATCGGTACTCGTTAGTTTCCAACGTTAGTTAGTTGAATTCTGCTTAAGCCGGTGCTAGGGGGCGTGGACGGTAACTTGCAATTTCCATTACCGTCCATCAATCAAACCGAGCCTGCAACATTTTACAATTTTGCCGTGTTGGGCTTTCTTTAGGGATTCTGTTTTTCACTACTCCAATACCATATTATAATGAACGTGAAGTTAGAAATGAACTATCAGCTAGACAATAAAAATAACCAATTCTGAGCTAAACAATCGACATAGAGATAAACATTCGACATTCATTAGTTTGAAATATAATTTCAAATTGATTGTGAAGCTAAACAATTAACATTTAGCTAAACGCCAGTAGAATGAATATGTAGATCAACACACAAGAGTATAATCAAATACTTGATTTATTATAGACAAATGGCGTAAAACAGATAAGGGGAAAGAAATGCATCATTTAGTCAACACAGGCAAAGTTCCAAATGTATATACATGCAACACAGTCTTTTCTTTTCCTCCAAAATGTAAAACCATCATAGGGTAGACTACCCTCCGGTTTAAAGGGGATTATTATGCCCCTGCACTTAAGTGAATATAGGTCTGAATTTACTTAAACAGTCACAGGTTAGATTAGACTTCGCTTGGGTTTTTTGGGATTATTATGCCCCGAAATTCACAGATCAATCTAGTACAGAACATAGTCATTTAACTTCTTAGGTAGGCACCGCTTACGAGCGGGGCAACTAGATACATTGGACTCTGCAAAATGTGGAACAACAGTATTCGCTTCCGAATCAGAATAATTGTCAGTATTTCCCTCCTGAGAATCATACATAACCCAAATTCTGGATCATAGTCATTTGAACTGATTATAGGTTTCGGTGGTGGACTCGATATTTCCAACGGGATATTTTGTGTGACGAGCGGAACGTGAAACATCTCTTGCTTATTCATTACGCTCTCCACGTCAGAGTCGAACTTAATTGGCGGTTCTTTTGTAGAAGCTTTGAAAGGTGTTGCTACTTTGAAGCAATCGGAACACTTAACACGATAGGAATTGCACCTGAGCTGGTAACCTTTAAATTTACGAATATTACACCATGGAAACTCTTAAGTCACTACATTGTACCTTTCCCGAGCATTTGTTTTTGTTGAGGTCTTTTCGAAGATACACAATTTCGCCTACTTTTAAATCAGGATAACCGGAGTTTGATTTGACGGGCATTTTGCTTTTTCACTTTGTACATGATTTGTCGTTCTTTGAACACGTTGAGATAATATTAATTTCTGATCATCCACAGGAATTTGTCTATTTGAGAACTGATCTCTTTGCATCCACAATTCTCTGGAAGATAAGCCTCGTCTGCGAAAACGCGTGTTTAGACGGGCGGTTACTATCGCGAGATTCATAGGAGTAAGTATTTTGATGAGGTGACGAGTTTGCTCGAAGAATTTCACCCTCCAATGCCTGTATAGCCTTTTCAGCGACCGGGTTTTTGTTGTAAGTTTTGGCACGTCCTAACTTTATTGACATACGGTGTCGAGCTAACAACTGATCATCTACCAATGCTTTGAAACCTGGAGCTGGGTCGGTTCTAATCACAGCGTACGGACCGTCAAGCGGGTGAACCTCTGCCAATAATTGTATAATAACATCATGCAAGTCAAGATCACGCTCACTTTCTAGCAACTTTGTGAATGTTAATGAGGTAACACATTCTCGAACTTCTAAAACAAGTTGACGTTCCCGCTTCATAACATCGGCGGCAAAAGCTAATCTAACGGTTTCCGGTGGATCTTCGGAGCTTTGTTCATCGCGCAATTTTGGTGCCTTTGCCAGGGATGCACACTGATGGCAACCTTTATTGACCATCTCTATTGATTTGTCCATATCCAAAGCATAAAAGTTTCTCTGTACGACGGATTTTAACTGGCTGACGAAAGGGTGTCCCAACTTTATATGTATAGAGTTCAAAAGTCTATCAAGAACTTGTCGGGGAACAACAATACATTCCTGACTTGGCATGAACGGAAGGCTCCGTTTAACGACAATGAGTCCATCTCGAGAGAGTGAGGCTATGTTTAAGTATCGCTTTATGTCTTTTACATTTGTAAGCTTCTTTGAAGGTCTTGTGCCTTGGCGAAGATGCGAAACAGTATGACGGAAATCTGCACACTCTGATTGAATGGACAACCAAGCAGATCTACTTGTAAACGGACATTTTACGTACCATTAAGGACATCCTCCGTAGTAATATGACGCACTACAGATTCTTCCTAATGACTTATGAACGAACAAATTTGACAGCTTTGATTCGAACATTCGGGTGCATTTCGGCTAACGATATCCGACGGTAAGATTGCTGCTCCAGAAACATGGCGAATTGAAACCTGAAAGCGACTTGCGGTAGATAGAAACGTAGAGACACGTGGACTTGATAAAAACTCCCCTCTGCAAAGCTTTTCAAAGGCTTGAACGCATGGCTTACTGTCGATAAGTATGTATGTAGATGTGAACGATTGGATAATGTAGGGATTGATAAGGCCTCAATTTCACACGGTAACCAACGATTCTGGTTCTGACAGAATCTTTAGCTAAAGAAACCAGTTACATGAAGCTTATCGTTCCTGTTGACATAAAGAGAATCCCCGAGTCCTCTGTTCTTCGAAGCACCATCCGTAACAATCCATAGTTGATCAGACGGAGGGGGAATTGTTATTGAGCGATTGGAATATGCCATTTGAGCATTAGAAAAAGCCACTTATTAGATCGTCAGTCCAAACAATAGAGTACTTTGATTCATCTTCAGCTATTACTACTTCTAGAGGAGATAGTATTTCTGATGTGTTTTAATGACACGAGAAAGCACGTTGTATGCGCCTATGAATGAGCGCATAGCAGTGACAGTTTTCGGCGGTTGGCATGTAGAAAACGTTGAAATGTTCCCATATCCAGCCGACAATTGATGCTTGTTTAGGTGCAACAATGGTCTTAGTAGCTGATAAATTGAGGCTGGTGTATTTCCGCCACAATACAGGTCATCTGCAATTTTAGCTACGGTACCATCTTGTACTAGGTGTCCTAATACTCTACACGTGAGTTCTTAAAGTGCTGTCTCAGAACCAGGCATTCCCATTGCTGAACGTACATAAACTCGTACACCACGGAACGGAGTTGATACACCACAGTACTTCATGGAGTCTTTTGACAGTGGAATTTGGTACAAGGATTTAGTCAAGTCAGTAATAATTATATACTTCCAAGGCGCAATTTGTCTGAGAGTTGAATCGACATCAGGCATCAATGACGGTTGTGGTTTGCTATATCTACCAACATCTGCAAAGGCTGTGACTAGTTGAAAAGTACCATTCGGTTTCATTACAAGAAAGGACGGATTCAAATACTCTACTGTAATTCCAAAATCATCGGGGCGTTTGAAAACACCGATTCGTTCCAGTTCGTCAAATTTGTCATGTAGACTAGATAACTGAGATTTCGCATATTGTGGTAATCGTCCTTTGCGATGAGGAGGCTGCACGGGACCCAAATTCACCTTTGCTTCCAATGAACCCAATGTACCATTGTAACCTTTAAAGTTCGGATTGAAAAAATCATCATACTTTTAAACTAGCGATTTAAACTGATCTCTCATACCTGTTGACAATATGTCATCTGGGTCGACACGGACTTTGATTTTGTTTAATACACTTGCGTTCACGGTAATAATTCTATTACGAGATGACATACACAGGTCTTTATCGAGAGTGGGGCGTAATCTTGCTGCCACCACGCCAGTAAAATGGATATGTAGATCAACACACAAGAGTATAATCAAATGCGTGATTTATTATAGACAAATGGCGTAGAACAGATAAGGGGAGAGAAATACATCATTTAGTCCAAAACAGGCCAAGTTCCGAATGTATATATATATATATATATATATATATATATATATATATATATATATATATATATATATATATATATATATATATATATATATATATATATATATATATATATATATATATATTAAACAAATGCATTTCTTGGTTAACATCCTTTATAACAAACATTGTGGACGAACTAGGTTATGGTGCTTCCAGTTTTAAGCTTTGTTTCTAATTGCAGAATTACGATTGGCCATTCTGTTTCGGTTTCTACCTGTTCAATTTTATAACCAGTTTATGCCAAAAGAACTCCGAACTGTCATCAGTCTTAAATAAATTGCAACTATTACATGATGACTCTTTAACACAAAAAAGACAATTTTATTCATTTTTGTTTGGGAAGTGAATGTTTGTCCTAGCACTGGAGTTGTAAATAGAAAAACGGTACATGTTGAAAACTCATTCTGTCAACACGCGCGTAAAACATTTAAGTAGCAAAGGTAAGAATTAACTATTTCATTATTTAAAGATGTATAATGACTGTGTTCATTGAATGCCGTCTTCCCTTGTTGATCTTGTTTTACATATTATCAAATTATAAGTATTTTTCAAACAATTGTACGCTATTTGTTCGGTCATAACTATGTTGCATCGGATTTTCACAGTTTTAATCATTCAAATATTTTAGATAATTGTTAAATGTTCAGTAGTTGACATAAAAATGTCGTTTCAGAATTGGACGAAGTAGTTTGTAAGTTTAATTTAATCACACTGACAAAATATGTTTGAGGTAGAAAGCCAAGATAATCATAACATTATTACTTTTAGCAACTACCGTAAAAACTCTGAATAAATAATTAACCTGTTGTTTGTGAAGATTCTGCTTTTTGAATTCCTCTTCCTGCATGTTCTGAATTAATTTTCTCGCCTGTAAAAGATAATATGTTACCTTGTATTTAATTTCTTAGTTGTATGAATGTTCCTGTGAGAAAGAAAGGTGAATTATGGTTTACAACACCATTAACATTAAATGTTAGAATATTTTATTACCTTTACGGTAATCGAATTGAGTTATACACGTGCACAAACTTTAGAAAGGATATATATTACCAGCGATTTTTTTGGTTAACAGGCTTTACAACAAACATTGCAGACAAGCTATGTTCTGGAGCTTCCAACTTTGAACTTTGTTTATTATTGCAGAATTGCAATTTGCCATTCTGTTTTGGTTTCTATCTTATCAATTTAATAACCACTTTATGCCAAAAGAACACACATAACTCGCTTCAGTTTTAAATCAATCGCAGCTCGATCATATGATGACTCACTAAACATTTCATTTGACACGAAAAAAGACAATTAAATTCATTTTGATTAGGGTAGTGAATGTTTGTCCTAGCACAAGAATTGTAAATAGAATAACGGTACATGTCTCAAACACATTCTTTCGCCAATTTTTAGCAATCTACCGTCTAACTCAGAATAAATAATAAACCTGTTCTTTGTAAAGATTCTGCCTCGTGTATTCCTCTTCCTGCACGTTCTGAATTGATTTTGCTCCCGGTAAAAGATAAAAAGTTATCTTGTATATGCTTTTTTAGTTGTTTGAATATTCCTGTAAGAAAATATATATATTACATGTGCATGTCTTGATTAACATGCTTTAAAACAAACATTGAGGAAGAACTAGGTTTTTGTGCTTTTAACTTTAAGCTTAAAAAGATTGGCAATTAGCCCGTTCAGACATCGGTACCCCATCGTAAACCTAATTGGTATGTAATGTGACGCAGGTTTTAATGTACCTTGCGAGAGGAGCTGGCGTGGGGTTTTACATGTATTGTATTGCCAAGGTGAAACTTTCAGTTTTGCGTGGGTATGTTACAGTGTAGTATTATAAATACAAATGTATTAACTGCTCGTTAACTTTAACACAAAATAAACCACGGCAATTACATTACCATGGTAAATTTTAATCATCGTTTTTATAATTGGCTGCTGAAGAAGTGTATATATGAAGTATTTTATTAATTAAATAAATACTGAACACATGTAAAAGGACATTTATTTCGTATTCGAAATTTTCGGAACCAATGAATAAAATGATAAAAAAGTCAAAACTATAATTTAAAGATGAAGTTCGCTAAAGGATTTGCCAAGTGTAATCTAGTAGATATAGAATTTATTAGCCCATAAAATTTAAGGGCGTCCTTTCTTAATAACGAGAGACTGCTCACGGGATCAAATGAGAGTGATTGAAGTATTCGAATAACTCGTTTGACCCTAAACATGGACAGTCTGATGTGCATAAGTGCATAAGATGCTCGTAAAATTTCAGATTAAATAGCGGTGTCGTTGCAGAATCTTTTTTCCCGATTTTGTTGCATAAGTTCTAGCATGAAATATATTTGAAATAGATAATTATAATAACAAAAACATATATTTTTAGAAAGCGAGTATGTATAATGAAAATGTAATAAATTTATTCACATACCGTATTCTTGTGGAGAATCTTGTACTTTTTCACCAAATCTTGTACGTCCAGTTTCTGAATTTTTAACACAAAAATATGTAAATTATAATAGATTTTATGCACCGGAGGTAATGAAACTTTTTTTAAAGAGACATAACCTGTTGTACGAGTAACTTAAAAAATGAGATAATTTTATTTTATTCAAATTCATATGTAGCACCTAATGATAAGTAGAATATTATAAATCATATTTTTTAAACTAATTTTAGTGACACATTAATTGCTCAATAAAAGTGCATGATTTCGTCAGAACTAAAGAAAAATGCAACCTGTTGTTTGTAAAGATGCTGCTGCTTGTATTCCACTTTCAGCATGTTCAGTTTGTGAAGTCACCTTGTCCCCTGCAAAAATAAGTAGTTGAGCTTGTTGAATAGTTTTTAACAGTTGTCCACGATCTAGTAAAAATGTGCATTATGTTGTTTTTTTGTCAGCTTTTCATACAAAATTTTCAGAAATATCTCTCATTTGTAAAGGAATTCGATTAACTTGATTTTATATAAGTTATTTTTAGATATACTTCCGCGTGCAAAATCTTCTTTGTGAAAGAGAAAAAAACATGGGGACAAAAATCTTATATTACAAAAAACTATATTTCATAGCGGACGACTATGGTGGACGTCTAATTCTTTCTAAATATTCGATATATTTGTCATCGTGTCATTATAATCTAGAATTATCGGCGACGTTATTCCAGTGATGCTTCAAGAAAGAAAATATTATTTAGTTGATGATGTGACTTGTTAAGATCTGTTTTTATAAAAGTAATGCATTTTATTGTCATGATCAACTAAGTGCATAAAATGCTCGTAAAATTTAAAATTCCATGGCGGTGTCGTTACAATATGAATCCCCCCCATTTTGTAGCATTCTTTCTAGCATGAAATATATTTGAAATAGATAATTATAAAACCAACAAACATTTTTGTGGAGAATCATGTTCTTTATTCCAAATCGTGTGTACTGTAAAAATGTTAATTCGAATCCTTTGTAATATTAAAGGGAGCATAAAAATGCAATTTTAAATAAAATTGACATATAAATTGAGTTCATCTTCCCATTTTCTCCTAGCAGTAGAGGGTGTATTTGCTCTAAGAATATACTCATTAATGTGTCTACATCCGTTCTTATGGCTTTTGATTATTTTAATCATAAAAGGCTGAATAGGCATTTCCTATTTCTGAGGTTTGTGTCTAATAGATAATTGATTGAACAATCCCAAAATAGACTCTTTAATGTTTTGATACTCTTTAAAACGGTATTTATATCAAACTTAATATTGATGACAGCAAATGACTTTTATTGTCTAAGAAGTAATTTATCAATACAATGCCCATATTTACATAAATTTTGAATAATAAAAACAGTAGAACCACCTATTTTATACTTAGATTTGCCAAAAACAGGGAGTAAGCAAAATTCACGCTACTGTTATTTACAAAATTCATTTAGTATTATACATTACCATCCTTCTTATCCAAGTCAATTTTAGAGACATTATGAAAGTATCTAAATGTTTTATTCTGAAACCCCTATTTTAATTATTCTGAATAACAACCATTCCTTTTTATTTCATCTAGTCCTGACTTCCATACGAATTTAAGGAAGTAGTTTTGTAAAGCTTTGATTTTTTCTATATCAGGATTTGGCAGACTAAGAATAAGGTGTTTTATATGGTAATGCAAATGACGTAATTACAACATGGTTACCAAAAGGGGTATAATTCGTCTTGACCGTGGAGTAAATAACTAAATAAATTTCCTCCCGTTTAGATAAATAATTAGCCTGAATTATGTAATTTAAATAAATGGTACAAGTAACACCAAGTTACTGAAGATTCCCACTGAAGATTAAACTTCGGACAAGTTATATGATTTTCCCCTTAATCATAGAAGGAATTCATACAGCTTTTGTTCTATATACGTTTATGTTGAGACCTGAAATTTTAGCATAGAATTTAATACTTGCATAGTGTGTCTTAGAGATTTAACAGTTCCATCAAGCATTATAGTTGTGTCATCAGCATATTGAGATCATAGAAATTCCGAGGTACATGCATAAAGTCTGACACTTTTATATGTGTATTATTTGTGAAAAGCAATGCAAGAATTTCTGCACATAATATAAACCACGTCAACGTTGTACTTGAAAGCAGTCTAACAAATGCCCATTAATTGTTTCACAAGAATGAATGATTTTGTTAACTTTTTTAGCCAACTTATGAAATGTTCACCAAACTAGAAGAACTCTAAAACTTTATGCATAACTGCCTATGGTATAGAATCAAAGGCTGTTGCCAAATCAATAAGTAACAACATTCCAGGAGTTTGACGATCATCTGTATATTGAATATTATCATACTAGATTAGTCTTAGATAAGTCTTATATTGTCACCTATGTATTTTCCAGTTAAGAAACCACTTTGACCTTCACTTGTAAGTTAATTTAATACCGTTTTAAGGCGTTGGGCAATATTAGCTGATCCAATTTCATAAAAACACTTTATACAGAAATCGGTCTCCAGTTTTTAAAATATCTTTCAATCTTGTCATATGTGTTATTTTTTCCAATTTATACCGGTTGTTTTATGAACCTTTCGAAAGGAGCTGGTGTGGAGCTTTTCATGTATTGTATTGTCACGGTGAAACTTTTAGTTTTGCGTGGGTAGGTTACCGTGTTTTATTGAGCGTGTTGAGCTTAGGGATTCTTATTTTCTCTATTTTATCGCCACATCAGCGTTGTTTGTGCCGTGTGGAGGCTGTAAAAAGTCGTCCCGTGCATTCAATCAGGGATGTTATATTTCCGATCCTTAAAAATCGTTCAGCACGACATTATTGTTGTGCTTGTGGTTTTTCGTTCTTTCTTTTTAGCATCTTTCTTGTTGGGTGGTTCCAGTATTCCTCACTTGAATACTGTTGAATCACCCTTAGGATATGTGGCCTGCTTTTTAAATTTGTCCTTTTGACGTCGTATCTGTGATATACAGGCTTCATAACCTCTGATCCCCTTTAAAAATTCCATTTTATTTAGTTCCGCCCATTGTTTTCTCGTTTAGGGCACATGCATTTTTTTTACTTGGGGACCATATGCCGCTTTTCCTGGAATGGCACTAACGTGTCACATTGAAGGTTCCATGACAACTCCCTTGACCTTCACTTGTAAGTTAATTTAATACCGTTTTAAGGCGTTGGGCAATAATTATTATATAAAATTTGAATGACACACTTCTCTTATTAACGCCAAAGGATTTGCCAAGTGTAATCTAGAATATATAGGATTTATTAGGCCTTGAAATTAAGGGTTTCCTTACTTAATAATGAGAGACTGCTCATGGGTTCAAATGATACTGATTAAAATATTTTCAAAAAACTATACATAATTCATCCGACCCTAAACATGGACAGACTGATTATTCATCATTACGATCGATTAAGTGCATAAGGTGCTCGTAAAATTTCTAATTTTATGGCGATGTCGTTGCAGAATCTTTTTTTCCCAATTTCGTAGCATACTTTCTAGTATCAAATATATTTGAAATAGATGATTAAAATAACCAAAATATATTTTTAAAAGGGGGATGCATAATGAAAATGTAATAAATTTATTCACATACCGTATTCTTGTGGAGAATCATGTTCTTTTTCACCAAATCTTGTACGTCCAGTTTCTGAATTTTTAACACAATAATATGCAAAGTATAATAGATTTTATGCGAAGGTTATGAAACGTTTTTAAAGAGACATAAACTGTTGTACGAGTAACCTTAAAAGTATGAGATATTTTTTGTTGTATTCAAATACCTATGTAGTGACTAATGATATTTATTAAGATGAACATTATATGTCATAGTTTTTAAACTAATTTTAATGACACATTTATCGGTCAATAAAAGCGCATGATTTCGTCAAAACTAAAGAAAAAAGCAACCTGTTGTTTGAAAAGATGCTGCTCTTTGTATTCCACTTTCAGCATGTTCAGTTTGTGAAGTAACCTTGTCCCCTGCAAAAGACAGAAGTGTAGCTTGTTTCATAGTTTCTAACAGTTGTCCACCATCTAGTAAAAATGTGCATTATGATTTAAATAAATGTACCTCTTGTGGTTTCCTTTTAAACAACGTAAACACTTGGTGAGTTATGCACATCAAACTAAGGCGTTTTTTTTAAATTGATAAAAGAACAATACATATGGAAATATGTATAAGAGTAAATTCGGTTCTTGCTTTCTTGATTTCCTTATTGTTTGTTTGAACCTTTGTTTTTAAAACGGATATTAGTTTTTAAAGTTCCTTTTTGTTGAATATCCTTAAAAAAGTGATCCCTAGGCAGCATCAAAATTACATGAAAAATGCAGGCTCGGTTTAATTGAGTCTGTACGTGAGGGATATTGAAAAGTGCAACATCCCTCACGCCCCGGCTTGAGCGGTACTTAATTCTCAACACTTAAAAGTGCTTAAACCATAATTATTTACGTCAGAACCAATCTTTGCCATACCGAAACCATTCTAATTTGAAAATTAAAAGAAAATTGAATAAATATATGTTATCTAGAAAACCAGTTTGGTTAATTGACTGCCGAGATACAATTGAAACATGTGTTAAAATTGTATTGAAATTGAATTAGAAAACAAACAAACATGAATAATAAGAATAAAATAAACTATGATTTGACCTATTCTTTTACAAAAAATGTTGAAAATGCTTATTATTGCTCTCCTACTTAATTCATTATAATCTTAATTCATACTATCACTTAACATATATGTTACTGACATAAATTTTTCATTTACATCAATTTGGTTTTGTTGTTGTTGGACATGATCGTGAAATAATATGAAAACATCACTTGATGTTTGTTTTATACCTTATCTAGAATGATTAAAAACTTCTGAAAATTCTGCATGTAGAAAAAAATGTCAAACTGAACAGTACCGAAAACACGATTACTATAGTATTATGAAAAAGTACCCGCTTCCTCCTCAAAATCAATCATAGGAAATATCTGATCCATTTCATTATGTTTAGTCATTCGCCCACAATTTCTCTCTGCATGTTCATAGTACATTGTAGCCATCTCCTTATTTGTGTTTTCCATTTGTCCGGATATTTTTATACGCTGTATATTGCGCGGTTTCACAACAGTGGATGTATCTGAAACTGAAATAAATAAGGATACAACATCAAAAGCTAAATGACTTATGGTTCTAACACTTTGCAAATGCATATTTATTTATATTTGAATAGAATTTCCTGCCAATTCGATCTCGGTTTTTGTACAGTTACATACTTTAGAAACAATTGGAATTTGCTTAAATTAGAATATTTGGATTGAATTGCAAAAGTTTCATCTGAATAACAGGTTAGATTATATTCTGATTGCTGACAGCATATCTTGTCTGGTCTTGAAATAGCATGGTTTGAAAATATATATTGGCGCTGATTCAACCGCGTTGTGGCCATAATAAAATGACTAAACTATTGATGCTGAAACCGGTAACAGGTAACGATATCCTGACGTTGACGTCAGTTTTTTTTTTCAAAATGCGTCAATGTCGCCTATATATTGCAATTGTGTGTACTTTTTTTTAACATATCCTGCTATAATTACGTACACAAATTTCAAATGGATTTTACATAATAAAGCTTATGCATTTTTGATAATGCCCCGTATTTCAAAGGATAAGTTTTTCACTTGTTCATTCTAATTCAATATTTTAGGATCTAGATTGTTATGGGTTATCTTACCGAAGATATCTACATCAACCTTACATCCAAGAATTGTCAATGGTTGGACGTCCATTATCCTATATACAGCTGTAAAACAAATGTAAACATTATTTAATGACCTCTGCTATCTTTCTTACAAACAGAGTCAAATCAGTTTGAATACTGTGTTTGAAAGAACTTCAATTTGAATATAAAAAGACATTTACTGTCTGTCTCCTTGTTGTTTTAAGTACATGTATCGGAACTAGAAGTTAAAATATTCCATCCTGTGTAACATTTTAAACGTAGATACAGAAAGTATCTGACGCGTTGTTTTACTCTTACAAAGACGATACTATTTTACCAGACAATAAGTAAATCCATAGATACCATTGACAATAATATTGACCGACTTTGTAAAGAAACTTCCTGGATACATAAACTTCAAACACAATATTCACAAGGAATGAATACATTATTTTCTGCTGATGGATACGCATTACATATTTGACATAAGTTGTGTGTTTATAATTTAAGTACGATTTTGTGTTTTCCTTTTCCATATCATATATATCTATAGATAACTAAAGCATTTGTTTATCCAATATAGTGCATAGCTTTTATATATTTGGTATAAATAAGACTCCTAAAATATGTATATTTTTGTATTGGAAACTTCCCGCCATTTTAAAATTACGTATATATTATCATGTCATTTTCGTTGTTTTGATGTATATATTCTGATGAAAACGTATGCTAATCATTGATAAGTAAAAACAATGTATTTATGTTCATATGTTGTTGGTTGTTTTTTCATTTAAACAAGTAAGTTCACAAATCGTTTTCTTTATCCGAATTTGTTCTTATTTGAAAAGTTGTAACACCAAAAATGTCTATACCACCGTACCCGTGGAATTGTCAAACTCAACGATGGCTTTTTTCTCTTTAGATGTAATGCTGATGTCTATAACGTTTCCTCCAAAATCTGTTTTATCTTCGAAAAACTTTTTCAACATGCCTTCTGTCATACAAACTGGCAATTTGGTGAATTGTATCTTTTTGGGCTGGTCAATATCGTCTTAAAAATTGAACACCAACAATAGTATTCATACTGATTAATTTAACCTTTCGCAATAATTTTTGTAGGACATGCATTTTGCATGCTTCTTCAACTTCAAAACTTTGCATGCACATCTTGGAGTAAAAAAATCGTAACAGACATTCACAAAACAATGACAGGTAGATAAGAATTACAACGAAATTACCTATGAATATATCTTTTTGAACATGATAACTCTTATGCGATAGGTAGTAATATTTTATGAATAATCAAAATGTTATTGACAATGACGAAAAAAGCTTAACTATATTATGTGCTGAACATTTCACAATGTACTATGAACTACAGATAAATATTACTTTATACAGACCTATTCTTTCTGTTTCTACTTCCTTCCCGAGTATCAATGTCGGTGTTTTATTCAGTATCCGATCAGCACCTAAAAAGGTTAATGTAACTTTACAATTATACATTTAGTGTAAAAAAATCATGCAATGTTAAAAACAAATGAAGATAGACGTTTTAATAAAAAGCGCTGTGTAAACAATTACATTTTAAACGCCTTAAAGATCGTGTAACACATTTTTTATGGTTTAATCTCATAAATATGTTGCTCAAATTAAAATTTATCAATATTGCAATTTCCAAAAAAGCATTTTTATAAAGATTTTACCGAATTTAACCTATAATTTAAAAAGGGAGGTAATTAGAAATTTATTTTCTATAAAAGTCAAATACTGCAGTACATATATAAAATAAAAGTGTGGTAGCAACCTCAATTATAACATACAGGATCTTTAATTAAACCAGCAATACAGGTTTGTCTTAAACTTTAACATTAGTATATCTGACTATATCGTTATGAAACACCTGGGTCAACAAGTAAGACAATCAATATTTTCTTAAATGTAAACATTAAATTAACCACAATGAGGGACAGTAGTGGATTATCTTCCCTTGATTAAAACCGAGGTTAACCAAAATGTAAGTAGGTCCAAATATTTGGAATCCTTTGCTTTTATCGTTGAGTTTTATGTAAGACAGGTTGATATGTCTTAATCAATTATTTCCACATGCATCAACAAATATATGCATCAACAAATATGTAAACCTTAAGAAAAAAATGTTTCATTTATGTCAACAGATTCTACATCTTATCGCAATATTTAATCTGAATATTACAAATGATCTTAATTAGCCCTAATAATTTTAGTTTGCTACAAGAAATAGGCGATAAAGTCTGAGCAATCCAATACCTTAGGACCTATCTATGTATAGGGAGTACACAGGGGAGGTTATTCACTAATGTCCCTCATTACTTCATATTAGTTAAAATCATATTCTATAGATAAAAAAAATAGTTTAGTGAATTTTACCTGTTTCGTCTTCAAATTCAATTATAGCACATCTATTCTTTCCATCAATAAATATATTGTTTACTTTTCCACCACCCTTTCTTTCTTCGGTCTTAAAAAACATTTCAAGCATCTCCTTATTGGTGTTTTCCTCTAAGCCAGAAACTTTTATTCTTGTTGATTTAGTACGACTCCTATCAGATGTTGTTTCTTAAGAAGAAAATGTACAATGATAAATGATATTTAGTTTGATTTGTATTCTTAATGAATTAGTACGACTCATATCAGATGTTGTATCTTAAGTGTAAAATTTACAAGAAAATATTATATTTAGCAGGATTTCATTTTAAAGTAGTAAATTTGCTTTTCTGTAACCCTTATGTAAAATATGAATGTACATTTGTATTGCCTTAGGAAGAATATTCTCACAATTCGAAACCAATTTGAAACTAACTGTCCAAAATATATGTATTAACGAAAGATTGTTTTGTGCTAACGATGCATGAAAATGTTAAAAACCTCACTGGAAACAGGAGCAAACTATTTTGTTTAAAATCACTTTATTCTATTTATATTCACATGTCAGTTTAGTAATAAAGATTTTTATAAAACTATTTTTTTTCGAGAAATGATTCTATTATAATAGTTATGGATACAAGATTATCTGACAATTAAGAAATTTAAAAATGTTTGTATGTTTGTTTAAATGTATTGGATATTTTAGTAAGTGAATGTCAAACGACACCATTTACAATAAGCATTCGCTCTTTCATGGGTAATCTATTTATTGAATCACACTAAGCATACGACTTGTTTACATATAATAACATGTTCCCTAATTCTTTATTTTCAAGTCGAATGGAATTTTTTTGGAACCACGTTTAAGGCCCTTTTATTTACTTTTCCTTTTTACATAATACATTCATTTTACATTTTTCAATTAATTATTTTACATAACATACGTTACAAACTAATATATATGTTGTTGTAGACATTTTAAAATAATTTCAAAGAGCTTAAACGTGAATCTCTTTAAGAAAAAGTTAAGAAAAAGGATATTATATTTTAAAAAGAATGAGTTTTGTTAAATCAATATTATTTTTTTTCTTTTTTTTTCGAATGGAATTTAATATATGCTTACCAATGACCTTTACCGTGACATCCATACCCAGTATAGATTTCGGATTTCTCAGCAGAAACGCATCAGCACCTGAAATAACGATTTCAAACAAAATTATCAAAGTGACAAATAAAGCATCTATAATATGACTATTTTCTTCACAAACAAATATGAATATGAGAATCGAAGCCCTCCTATCTAATGCATCATCTTCTTAATTTATAATTTCACTTTAACCACTGTCTTCAACTTTTCATTTCCATCAATATGGAAAAATCATGAATGTATTCTCACTAACTGGATAGAAAAATCCGTAAATGTTGAACAGCGGGATTGGAGTTTGAAAATCGTATATTACATGCTTTTATCTCACATTGTACGTTTATCACGTCTTTATGTAATCCTATGCAAAATTTACTCCTATTTTAACGACAAACCTCATAAGGGTTATTTGAATTAAAGAATGAGAGCTAGTTTATTTGGTTGTCAACGAAACCCAGACGTAAAGTGATAATAACTTTAAAAATCCAATGAATCTTATTCTACGAAGGTCAGACTTTTTCCTTATCGATCTGTTACTAAAAATAGAGTTTTGCGAAATTCTTTGTAAACACTGATATGACTCTTTTCTTAAACACATTCATGCGTTTTTGTAATGACAACAAAGCTTTTTAATGACGAATCTCAATTAAATTTATTTTGTTTGGTACTTTGGTCAAAATAACTAGATTAGTGCAAATCTTCGCATCTGTAAAATGCTTTAAGGTATGAGCCCCCCTAATGGGCACTATAAGGAACTATAAAATTGACAACATAGGTCAGTTATATACCTTAAAAGACACAAGAATGGAGATTTTTCTTAAGTAAAACTTGGCTATTAGAAGGGCTCTTTTTCAGAAATGAGAAACTCTAAATATTCTACTTTATAATCATTATGAAAACATGTTTTCCTATAGAACAATTTTGAGAAACAAATAATAGCATTCAGCTAACAAATTATCCGGCAAAATTATTTTTTCTACTCAAAATGTTTAAAATATGTATATAAATGTTACCCTACCCCACCCATTTAAAGTACTTGTTTGATCATTTTTCTACTTGGAGGGCCTTATTCAAAATATCCCTAAAATTTACTCAAACCAGGGGCTGTTTTCAAAGTTTGTATAAATTTTCTTAAAAGTATATTGGTTGCGATTGTCAAATATAAAACACTTTTACCGTCTAGTTTTTATTTTATTAGACTTTGAAAATATCAAGTACCATATTTGATAAAAAATTTGGCACAATTTAGCCAATAAACACCAATTACATTTTCATAATTAAAATGAAACACTTTTTTCTTCTCAAGAGTGACATGAGAGACACAAATAATGTTCAAAGAAAAAAAAAGAAAGAAAAAAAAGTTGCCACTTCTGGGGCTTGAACCCACGCCCCTCAGTTACAATGCAGTTGACAGTTGTTCAAGCCTATTTGAATACTCTTCAAAGTGGAGGTAATACATTAGGTGGATCATACCTTAAGTCAATCATTGAAGTATGGACTAAATACTTTACAAACACTTATATTATGACATTTTTACATTAAACATTCTCAACAGCCACCGAAAAATGTTTGCACGTCCAGGATTTTGCACACTTCACTACAACTTAAACGTCTTTTACAAAAATAAATCATTTCACATGATAGATTTAGAATTAAGTAACAGAAATTGGGTTAAAATTACGCATAATTTATTTATTTACACATCATGACTTTTATTTAAAAAATGTCTTGTGGATATTCCGCCCGGTAAATGCCGTCCGTTCGGAAAATTTAGTTCCAAACGGATTATTTTCCACCATTATATATTTTTCCGATCGGATTTTCTAATTTTCTTTTTTTTTGAAAAAAAAAAACAACATTTGTTTAATATGTATTAATTTTTCTTGAAACAGTGGCAATTTAAGCAATGTTTTGGAAATAGGATTTCCCAATTATTTTTACTGTTGGAATAAACTCAAACTTGTTATTTTTCTAATTGCACTTGTATACAATATTTATTATCGGGAATAAATCCTATCGGAATGAATTCCAATATTAAAGAAACGGAAATTGATTCAATAAGAAATTCAAACAAAATTTACGGTAAGTTTATCCAAACTTTCTACTTACCATTTATTCAAAACCTGTCATATAAATCACTGTCTTTAATTTACACCAATATAAATTTAAATGTGGACAGGGTATAGTCTAATAGTTCATAAGATAATATAAAGAAATAACAGCTACTACATTTGTTATATATGTTATGTAGAATAATTAAAACTTCTGAATTTTCTACTTTACTGAAGAAATAATTAACAGAACCCGATACACAAAAACATGATAATATAGTATTATTTAAAATTACCCGCTTTCTCCTCAAAGTCTATCGTAACAAACTTTCCCTTGTGATTTATTTCAATGTTTTTCACCTTTCCCCCGCCTTTTCTTTCTTCCTGTTGAAAGTACATTGCGAGCATTTCATTATTTGTGTTTTCCTGTAATCCCAAAATTCCTATACGCGGTATATCCTGCGATTCTACAACATGTGACGCATCTGAAATAGATACAATATAAGCTTTGTACAAAGATGAAGCAACACAGTGGGGGTAAATATTTTATGTTTCTTGTACGTTATAGTTGCATATTACACGAACATTTTGAACAGAATATCTGAAAAAAGACAACTGGGACGTATCGACGTTATTGACAAGTTACACTCCGTTTATGATGTTTTGAAATTTGCTTAAACTTATGTGTAGGAAATACGCTACACAGTTTATTCAACACCGGCTTACAAGAACATCCTTTTACTAAAACAATGCCAATACTGCAACAGTCCATTTTGTTAGACTTCACAAGATTCAAGTTACATCAAATATGACATGTTAACGCAAATGTTAAACAGAATCCCTGTGAATTAAGATTATTAACTATCATACCACTTTGAAATGCGAAAGTCGTTAAAAATATTTGAAATATCACGATGCCATGTACACAGCATTGTCAATATAATTAACGTCAAAAGAAGTTCATTCATATGAAATTCTTTCTTACATAACTTGCATAACTGGCCCTAAGTTTAAGAGCCAAACAATTATATTGTCAATACTTATAGTTTAAATTAGACAGGATTTTAATTACAATTGACATAATTTCGTACAATTTGTACCGTAAAAAATCGACAATTAGACATTTCTAATATAATTGAAATGTGATTCTCTTGACAAAGGTTTGAAACAAAAACGCAAACCCTTGAAGCTATTTGAAGAATTTCAATGACGAAACATTAATTTTTGTTTGATAGAACTTTTGTTTTGAGCTGTGAATTTGTGACTTTAATTTATATCCCGAAAGATAAAAAGTGACCTCATACAATGACTTCCTTTAAGTTATTTTTAATTAACTGGTAGGGTTTTATGCCCCCCAAAATCTGTCAATATCTATTGATTTTACTGACAGAATGACAATCATTTATTTATCACAATAGATTTTTCTATTGTGAATTATTATTTAATATTTCAAGTTGTAGCATCCAAATATTTATGATTTATCTTACCAAATACATCTATATCAACATTAAATCCGAGAATTGTCAATGGTCGTTCTTCCATTATTCTATAAACAGCTGTAAAACAAATGTAGAATTTATTTAATGACATCTGCATACTTCCATTAAGTTTTGATAAAACAGTTTCACAGTATTCATTTCCATATTCCATGAAAAAATAAGCATGATCTGACTCAAAAACTTCTTTCCATTTAGTTTTAGAATTGTTTTATACTTAAGAGCTTACGCAATATTTTTATTAAGTTACCATATGTCAATTGTTTTAGAATGCTACGAACATGCCACATTAAAATTTCCATACTCACCGCCAAAAATGAATACATCTGCGTTTACTTTAAATATAAGAATCACCATATTCATGTTAGGTATTCAGTTTTGCTCAAGACTGTGCTAGCTGGAGTTGAATGTAGCTTTCATTAACATTTTTTTAAGTTTGCCGGAGATTTGTCAAATACAGCCTTTTGAAAATTTTAACACGAACAAAATATGTTTGGATAGACATGGATTGTTTTGAATGTTGCCTTGTATAACGTGGACATTGTTAAAAGATAATCTGACTAATATGTTAGTTTGTCACATAAATTGTTATTCAATTAAAGGGCATAGGACATTAAAAAGAGTTTGCTTTAAACAATTTATTATCGTGACAATGATGTGATGATGTTAGTCTTGTTGCTTCAAATGCACATTTTATCAATACTAGCAGTGTGTAATTTCGATATTGATTAATGTTTTAAACGTTCAAAATCTTTTTACAGTAAGATTTGGTATTGCTATTTAATTTTTACGCTTAAGAAATCAATTTACCTCATACAAATTAACAAAAGAAGTTTCATTTATATACTTTCTTACCTGTAGAATCACCAAACTCAACAATGACTATATTCTCTTCAGATTTAATGCTGATGTCAATGATTTTTCCTCCGAATTCTGTTTTATTATCGAAGAACATTTTTAACATCTCTTTATTTATACTGACCGGCAAGTTGGTGATTTGTATCTTTTTAGGCTCGTCAAGATCATCTTGAAAAGTTATTATAAAACTAGTAATAATACTGATTTATACAACACAGCATGCAAGTTTGTTCATATATACTAGTATTCAATTGGGTTGTTATGCATGTGTTCGATTTGGAAACAAACAGACAAGTAAGAAATATATTGAACTTACAAATGAGCCTTAAACACGATCACATTTATATAGGAATATCAAAATAAGTTAAACAGTCATGCTGATAATCTAATTTCTGTTTGACAATGCTAAAAGCATGCCATTTCAACTACAATGTCTGCTGAAAACTTAAATAAATATTTTGTTGACAAATAATAACTGTATACAAACCTAGTGTTTCTATTCCTACTTCCACCCCGAATATTGAAATCGGTGCCTTATTCATAATCCATTCAACACCTTAAAATTGAAATTTGAAAGGGGAGATAAAAAATTTTGAAAAGAATAACTGTTTTTTCTGTCTTGACTATTGCAATTTAAAAACTTCAATATCAGCGATTCAGTTTTGTATTGAATTAAATAGTACCATTAAACACATGTGTCAACACGTTAAAAGAATCGGTATTATCTTTTTAATGATTTTACCTGTTTCGTCTTCAAATTCAATTAGAGCACATCTATTCTTTCCATCAATAAATATATTGTTTACTTTTCCGCCACCCTTTCTTTCTTTAGTCTTAAAAAACATCTCAAGCATCTCCTTATTGTGGTTTTCCGCTAAGCCAGTAATTTTTATTCTTGTTGATTTAGTACGACTCTTATCAGATGTTGTCTCTTAAGAATAAAATTTACAATGATAAATGATATTTAGTTGGACTTTTATTCTGGATGAATTAGTACGACTCATATCAGCTGTTGTATCTTATGTTAAACACAATTTAAAAATTAAAAAAAATGTTTTTTAGTAGGATTTATAAAAAAGAATAAATTTGCCATTCTTTAACCCGTATATTAAATATGAATATATGAGTATATCTTATAAATTTCAAACCAAACTTATTGTCCAAAATACATTTTCGATATCAATTTGATTCATCATGCTCGTCCCACAAGATTATAATCTATTATGTACAATATTTATTAACAGACATACATGTTTTTATCAAATCCTTAGAGAAATGATTACTGATACAACAAAAAGTTACGGTGAATGATTTTATATATTATACAAGACCTAGCTTTATACCCATTTACATTGGCATACATACAGTATGAGTTTGAAGAGAAACAAAAATATTTCACAGTATTTAAAAAATACAAGTTTGAATCTTCAAGAATTATAGCTGATAATAAATTTATTAACACACCATAACTTGAAACGCAAACTAATAAAAATGCAAATATTGTATATGTTTACCAATCACCTCTACCGTGACATCCATACCCAATATAGATTTCGGATTTCTCAGCAGAAACGCCTCAGCACCTGAAATTGCGATTTCAAAATAAACTAACAAAGTAATAGACTTTGGATTTCTCAGCATAAATGCATCTGCAACTGAAATAACAATTCAAAAACAATAATTATTGAGAAAGTATGTTTGACAAATCAGTTTATATAAAGGTATAAACTAACGTTGCACAAAATTCAAATCAATTTCAGGTAATCTTCATTCCTGTACAAAATAGCATCCTCGAGCTTATGCAGATGATATTTTAAATTATACATACGATATAAAGGTCCATTAACAAACCATTTATAACATTTAATAAAGATAAAGTTATTCAGTATTTTTCATAATACAAAATTATATAATTATAATATTCAAATTTTGAAAAACATGTTGCTCTAATGACACCCATACCAATTACATGTACAATTGCATATATAAAGAATAGATATATTTGGACCCAAATTAAGTTTAATATATGGTTTGTGTTACAGTCAGGCAAGGGGAATTGGTTTACAAAATGACAACATATTAAGCACGAGGAAATGGCAAAAAGTAAGATTTTCACACCATAAATACATGTTAATATGAGTTTAAATGTCTGATTTTATGTGCCTTTGCTTCAGGTACTATGCGAATCAGCGTTCATGTAGGATTCGATGAAACAAAAAATTAGAAGACTGTTTATGTATAACAAGGGTTAGTATAATATTATGTTGCAGACAGGCATGTAGTTACAGAACGTGTTGCATGCACTTTGATTGTTTCCACTGGAGTATTAAACAAAACAAATAAAAAAATCAAAGAAAATGAAAATGTAACCATTAACAGGGTGATATCGTCAAGGTGGAAAACATATGCCCAAGAAAAACACCTTGAAGATTTTGAGAAATGCATTGTTCAACAAAGGTGATGAAACGTTTCAAAATCGCAAGAAATGTAAAACAGTTACATGGCGGTTGTCGTTTAAGGCGTATAACACATGCACTCGACGCACTTTATTCCTGTTCTCGTTTTCAGTATTATAATTCGTTAAGAAACAGTATGCAAAATATAACAAATGTACGGTTATTTACCAAGACATTTAGAAAAGATTGCATGATGCAGGTATGAATGCTTGACGTCCTGCCATTCACATTCAATTGAAGAATACAAACACCAGAGAATACTACTTTGGGCACGTGACCATGTGTAATGGAGACCCTACAATTGTATCACTGTTTTGTTTACTGATCAATGGAGATTGTTTCTCTAGAATTTACAGATAGACGCATCAGCGTGTAGAAATGACCAAATGAAGTTTTGCACCTGCTTGTATCTCGGAACACAATCTGTATAGCTACTGGTTTTTCTTTGTATTTGGGAAATTAAAGACAATGGGACCTTGAAAGGTAAAACATTTTACCCCAGCGCTTTTATTTGAACAAACTTGGTAGACACTCAGTAGAAGATGTTTCATGTTTAATGTCTAAGCTCGAGCTCTTTGTGTTTTTTAAAAGAAGACTTTTAAAACTTTTAATATATACACATAAGGAAAATCAATGACCCCCTTGGGAGGGGCCAATTTTGACAGGTGGGCTAAAAAGATACTTGAACAATATTTTTAGATAATTACATGACAGTTAAAAAGAACCTTTGAAAAATAGGTAATTAGTTGCGTTTATAGTTTTGTGTCTCTAAAACATATAACATCAAAAATAAACAACAAAACTGTTTGTTAGTCATAGCATGTTAAAAGCAAAATTTGTCATATCAATAGTGTTTCATATCACTGGTATAGACGTTATTTGCATGGGTATAGTGTACTCTATATAAATAAAAATGTCCTGGTTATCAGTTGGCAATTATTATAACTTATACGGACAAACGGGTTAACCTACAGACTGCATAAGCTGAACTAAATAAATTATGAGTAGTATTGTTTGAAATACATAAGAATTAACTACACTTTGCATATAAATATATCAAATAGTTGCAAAAAATAATCAGACCACAATAATAACTTGTCTATATATTAACTAAGATATAATAGTACCTGCTTTCTCCTCAAATTCAATAATAGCAAATTTTCTTTTCTTATCAATGTCAATATTTTTCACTTTCCCCTCGCCATTTCCGTATTCAAGTTCAAAGTACATTGCCAGCATCTCCTTATTTGTGTTTTCCTTTAATCCAGAAATTCTTATACGAGGAATGTCCAGTGGCTCTAAAACCGATGCCATACCTGGAACTTATATAATTAAAACATTGTATAAAGGTATAGTAAGTAAAATGGTGTGCTAAATAGTTGATGCTCCTTGCACATAACATTTACATAGTTTATGATATCATAAATTATAAGAATCATATAGTACAGTATTCCTTTTTTGCCTTATCACCTACACTTCTTATAAATGCCATATTTCTAATGTAAGATTGGAAATCTAATCAAGATAATATCTATGCCAGTTCTTTTTAATTCTAGCGTAATTAATTCCCTTATATTTAAAAACTGATAAAATAAATAAAATATTTTAGGCACACTAAATCTTTACAAATGCATTGTTGCATGGGACATGTTTGATCAAATCTGGTTTTGTCGCGAATATACGTGGTACTGAAAGGGCTACGTATCATAAATGATTTTACATTTCATTTTTCTTAATTTATTTAATAAACAAGACGGTGCCTCGTGTTTATCTTTAACCACATAAAGGCATGTACATATTTACGAAATGATTGTGTTCAAATAACTTTGTGATAAACGTTTTCCTGTTGTGTATTATATAGGTTCTTATCTTGTTTCTCGTTTCCGCGTGCATGCTGTATTTAATTAACTAAAAGTTTTTCGTGTTTTTCGTGTTGTTTAATATAAACTTTAAGTATTTCTTTGAATTTGTTTAAAGATATACTATGCTCATCTTAAAGTAAAATATTTTGATCCTAGGAATTAATTGAAATCGATGTTATTCTTATTTAACATGTCAAATTCTAATAAAAGAATGTACAAACTATGTGTCGGAAGCTGCATATCCTATTACATGTCAAGTAAAAGTGGTCCTTTCTTAGAAAAAAACTGCCAATTTTTTTGAATCACAATACATGTATATACTTATTTTGTGTCAAGCTAAAGTGTGTGGTGTTTAAAACACGAAGTATCTACTTTATGTTTAGTCAATTTTGTCAAAACTTGTTTTTTATATTTTCAAAGAGACTGTCTAGCATTTATCAATATCTGAAATATAAAATTTGAGCATAGCATATCTTTAATTTTAATTAAAAGGGAGCATCTCTACATGCCTTATATCTACACGCAACTGTATAAGGTAAGTTTAAATCTTAGGACAAGACGTTATGACCGGTTAACTATATCCAATTAATTATCTTTAAGTGAAGGAGGTATTTGTTTTAAAGTTTATACTTTTGTTAAATTGTTAATGACCGCAGAGCAATGTTAATGCCAAACATCTAAGCTCTTGGCATTGTTGCTTTACACAATAAGACATAAATGTTCTCTTTTTTATAAGTATGAATTTTAAGATATAAATTACGGTCCCCTTCGGAGGGTTAATTTGTTTTGTGTGTAAGTCCTAAAACCAGGTTCTGGACTGTCATTATAATGAACATTTCTGCTGTGTAGTTTGAATTTTCTTTCTTAGTTCAAAAGTTGCATGCTGAAACGAGATTGCTAACGAAGTGACCACCTGACGCATAACATGCTCGCTATTTCTTTCGGGCGCAAAAGACGTCAAGTGAAGACATTCTTGTTTCCATTCCCTTATAGGTACACTCACATCAGGGAAGACATTCTTGCAATTTTCGAAGACAGACAAAGGGTATTTATAAAGGAGCCTTTCTTTTAAAGAATATTAAAAAGGTCGTTTTGTCTGAATGCCAAATGAAGCCAATTTAACAACATACCTAATGGAAACAAAATGTCGTTTGAAATAGGTGAAACAATGAGTTAAGGGTTCATATCGATACAACGAGTTAACGAAATGGATATAAATGTGCCGATGTGCAAAGAATGACGAACAGTCTTAAATAGATAAATGAGAACTGGCTCTTTTGAAAATACATAAGTATCTGTGGCAGGTGTTTTTAAATCAATTGTATTCGTACAAAGACATAATTTTAACAGAAATCAAAAGAAAAATGAAGAAGTCCATAATACACACTTTATTACATTGAACTTAAAATAGGACATACACACTTGACAGTGTTGCCTGTACAAAGTCCTATTGCTACTTTAGACACACATGCACAATACTGCATAACTAGGCAGTACTTTTGGTTTTGATAAATATGTCATCAATTTTTCTCATAAAGTAAAGCTGTAAATTTCATGTATTATTTCATTTTTGTGAAAAAGTAGTTATCAAATCTATAAATAATTTGCTGCAATATTCCTTCAAATGTTAACATAGTATTCACCATAAAAAGAAGTACCAAAAACTTGAAAACTTCAAATTGAAATAAAAGGACTCAATAACTCTTTACCTTGAAATATCATTATTACAACCTTTTATAACTTTGTATTTACTAGTAAAAAAGAACAAAATAAACACTTATTAATTGTTTCTATTCTAAATAATCCTATTTCAAGTGATATTGTTAGCACCATAAAAATTTGTAATTTACTTTGGTATAAATTGAACAGAGGTGTGAAGATGTCAAAGGCAATAAAAGATGTATTTTAAATGAAAGATGATTGCATTGTATTTTTTCAGTTGACTGGTTACTAAACAATAAGAAATGACATGAATATATGTGGTAAATATTGTTTGTAAAAAGTTTGTTCAATCATTAATGTTGTTAACATGTAATATTAACTTTAAATAAAGTAAATGAATTTTTTTCTTTGCTAAATAATGTTAGCAATTATTTTGTTTGACACTGTGTATTTATCCAAACTTTACTTTAATGACTATATAAAAGTAATGGTACTGATACTTAATTACTTTCCCCCAAAAAGTACTGGTACTGAAGTACTGAGCTAAAATCTAGTATTGGTACTGGTAATGGTACTGCATAACTTGGCAAGTACTAGAACTGGTATTTAAGTACTACACCCTTAGAACTGATGCAGCTCTGCTAAAGACACATCGATATTTCAAAAATAAGGTCATAGTCAACCACCAAGATGCTACAGTAATATGCGCATTCTCCTATAGTATTAAATTTGATTCCTTCAATGTTTCAGAGTGTCTGATAAAAATACTACTTTTTCTCTTGTTTTATAAGATTTCTTCTATAGTGTCAATGATTAAGTACAAGAATAAAAATAATTTGATCTATGCTTCGTCTGTTTATTAATAAGTTGAACAATTAAAAAAATTCTTAGCTCACCGAAAGTATCTACATCCACTTCCAAGCCGAAAATTGTTAATGGTTTCTGATCTAATACTCTATGAACAGCTGAAAAAGTATCTATATATATTATATATAAATTTAAAAGTCTATAGCCAACAATTGATTATTTCGGGCTTTAAAAGAATTCCTATCCATTAATCTCACAATTAATAACTATTTACCACACTAGAGCGTTTCTGATGCAGCTTGTTTGGTCAATACAAACATACTTTGTATTAGAAAAACATACTTTGTATTAGAAAAACATACATATTAAAAGAGGAAATGAGTCAATGTCAGCATCATGCTACATTTAATTTCACTTTCATTTCAAATTTTGTGTGAATTTGTGACTTTAATTTATATCCCGAAAGATAAAAAGTGACCTCATACAATGACTTCCTTTAAGTTATTTTTAATTAACTGGTAGGGTTTTATGCCCCCCAAAATCTGTCAATATCTATTGATTTTACTGACAGAATGACCACACTCACAATAGATTGTTCAATTGTGCTTTATTATTTAATATTTCAAGTTGTAGTATCCAAATATTTATGATTTATCTTACCAAATACATCTACATCAACATTAAATCCGAGAATTGTCAATGGTCGTTCTTCCATTATTCTATAAACAGCTGTAAAACAAATGTAGAAGTTATTTAATGACATCTGCATACTTCCATTACGTTTTGATAAAACAGTTTCACAGTATTCATTTCCATATTCCATGAAAAAATAAGCATGATCTGACTCAAAAACTTCTTTCCATTTAGTTTTAGAATTGTTTTATAGTTAAGAGCTTACGCAATCTTTTTATTAAGTAACCATATGTCAATTGTTTTAGAATGCTACGAACATGCCACATTAAAATTTCTATACTCACCGCCAAAAAATGAATACATCTGCGTTTACTTTAAATTTAAGAATCACCATATTCATGTTAGGTATTCAGTTTTGCTAATCTGTGCTAGCTGGAGTTGAATGTAGCTTTCATTAACATTTTTTTTAAGTTTGCCGGAGATTTGTCAAATACAGCCTTTTGAAAATTTTAACACGAACAAAATATGTTTGGATAGACATGGATTGTTTTGAATGCTGCCTTGTATAAAGTGGACATTTTTAAAAGATAATCTGACTAATATGTTAGTTTGTCACATAAATTGTTATTCAATTAAAGGACATAGGACATTTAAAAGAGTTTGCTTTAAACAATTTATTATCGTGACAATGATGTGATGATGTTAGTCTTGTTGCTTCAATGCACATTTTATCAACACTAGCAGTGTGTAATTTCGATATTGATTAATGTTTTAAACGTTCATAATCTTTTTACAGTAAGATTTGGTATTGCTATTTAATTTTTACGCTTAAGAAATCAATTTACCTCATACAAATTAACAAAAAAAGTTTCATTTATATACTTTCTTACCTGTAGAATCACCAAACTCAACAATGACTATATTCTCTTCAGATTTAATGCTGATGTCAATGATTTTTCCTCCGAATTCTGTTTTACTATCGAAGAACATTTTTAACATCTCTTTATTTATACTGACCGGCAAGTTGGTGATTTGTATCTTTTTAGGCTCGTCAAGATCATCTTAAAAATTTATTATAAAACTAGTAATAATACTGATTTATACAACACAGCATGCAAGTTTGTTCATATATACTAGTATTCAATTGGGTTGTTATGCATGTGTTCGTTTTGGAGATATCAAATTCGAAACAAACAGACAGGTAAGAAATATATTGAACTTACAGATGAGCCTTAAACACGATCACTTTTATATAGGAATACCAAAATAAGTTAAACAGTCATGCTGATAATCTAATTTCTAAAAGCATGCCATTTCAACTACAATGTCTGCTGAAAACTTAAATAAATATTTTGTTGACAAATAATAACTGTATACAAACCTAGTGTTTCTATTCCTACTTCCACCCCGAATATTGAAATCGGTGCCTTATTCATAATCCATTCAACACCTTAAAATTGAAATTTGAAAGGGGAGATAAAAAATTTTGAAAAGAATAACTGTTTTTTCTGTCTTGACTATTGCAATTTAAAAACTTCAATATCAGCGATTCAGTTTTGTATTGAATTAAATAGTACCATTAAACACATGTGTCAACACGTTAAAAGAATCGGTATTATCTTTTTAATGATTTTACCTGTTTCGTCTTCAAATTCAATTAGAGCACATCTATTCTTTCCATCAATAAATATATTGTTTACTTTTCCGCCACCCTTTCTTTCTTCAGTCTTAAAAAACATCTCAAGCATCTCCTTATTGTGGTTTTCCGCTAAGCCAGTAATTTTTATTCTTGTTGATTTAGTACGACTCTTATCAGATGCTGTCTCTTAAGAATAAAATTTACAATGATAAATGATATTTAGTTGGACTTTTATTCTGGATGAATTAGTACGACTCATATCAGATGTTGTATTTATGTGAAACACAATTTCATTTAAAAAAAAATGTTTTTTAGTAGGATTTATAAAAAGGAATAAATTTGCCATTCTTTAACCCGTGTATTAAATATGAATATATGAGTATATCTTATAAATTTCAAACCAAACTTATTGTCCAAAATACATTTTCGATATCAATTTGATTCATCATGCTCGTCCCAGAACATTATAATCTATTATGTACAATATTTATGAACAGACATACATGTTTACAAATCCTTAGAGAAATGATTACTGATACAACAAAAAGTTACGGTGAATGATTTTATATATTATACAAGACCTAGCTTTATACCCATTTACATTGGCATATATACAGTATGAGTTTGAAGAGAAACAAAAATATTTCACAGTATTTAAAAAATACAAGTTTGAATCTTCAAGAATTATAGCTGATAATAAAATTATTAACACACCATAACTTGAAACGCAAACTAATAAAAATGCAAATATTGTATGTTTACCGATGACTTCTACCGTGACATCCATACCCAATATAGATTTCGGATTTCTCAGCAAAAACGCCTCAGCACCTGAAATTGCGATTTCAAAATAAACTAACAAAGTAATAGACTTTGGATTTCTCAGCATGAATGCATCTGCAACTGAAATAACAATTCAAATACAATAATTATTGAGAAAGTATGTTTGACAAATCAGTTTATATAAAGGTATAAACTAACGTTGCACAAAATTCAAATCAATTTCAGGTAATCTTTATTCCTGTACAAAATAGCATCCTCGAGCTTATGCAGATGATTAAAAGTTATGATATTTTAAATTATACGATATAAAGGTCCATTAACAAACCATTTATAACATTTAATAAAGATAAAGTTATTCAGTATCTTTCATTATACAAAATTATATAATTATAATATTTAAATTTTGAAACACATGTTGCTCTAATGACACCCTCACCAATTACATGTACAATTGCATATATAAAGAATACATATATTTGGACCCAAATTAAGTTTAATATATGGTTTGTGTTACAGTCAGGCAAGGGGAATTGGTTTACAAAATGACAACATATTAAGCATGAGGAAATGGCAAAAAGTAAGATTTTCACACCATAAATACATGTTAATATGAGTTTAAATGTCTGATTTTATGTGCCTTTGCTTCAGGTACTATGCGAATCAGCGTTCATGTAGGATTCGATGAAACAAAAAATAAGAAGACTGTTTATGTATAACAAGGGTTAGTATAATATTATGTTGCAGACAGGCATGTAGTTACAGAACGTGTTGCATGCACTTTGATTGTTTCCACTGAAGTATTAAACAAAACAAATAAAAAAATCAAAGAAAATGAAAATGTAACCATTAACAGGGTGATGTCGTCAAGGTGGAAAACATTTGCCCAAGACCAACACCTTGAAGATTTTGAGAAATGCATTGTTCAACAAAGGTGATGAAACGTTTCAAAATCGCAAGAAATGTAAAACATTTACATGGCGGTTGTCGTTTAAGGCGTATAACACATGCACTCGACGCACTTTATTCCTGTTCTCGTTTTCAGTATTATAATTCGTTAAAAAACAGTATGCAAAATATAACAAATGTACGGTTATTTACCAAGACACTTAGAAAAGATTGCATGATGCAGGTATGAATGCTTGACGTCCTGCCATTCACATTCAATTGAAGAATACGAACACCAGAGAATACTACTTTGGGCACGTGACCATGTGTAATGGAGACCCTACAATTGTATCACTGTTTTGTTTACTGATCAATGGAGATTGTTTTTCTAGAATTTACAGATAGACGCATCAGCGTGTAGAAATGACCAAAGTTTTGCACCTGCTTGTATCTCGGAACACAATCTGTATAGCTACTGGTTTTTCTTTGTATTTGGGAAATTAAAGACAATGGGACCTTGAAAGGTAAAACATTTTACCCCAGCGCTTTTATTTGAACAAACTTGGTAGACACTCAGTAGAAGATGTTTCATGTTTAATGTCTGAGCTCGAGCTCTTTGTGTTTTTTAAAAGAAGACTTTTAAAACTTTTAATATATACACATAAGGAAAATCAATGACCCCCTTGGGAGGGGCCAATTTTGACAGGTGAGCTAAAAAGATATTTGAACAACATTTTTAGATAATTACATGACAGTTAAAAAGAACCTTTGAAAAATAGGTAATTAGTTGCGTTTATAGTTTTGTGTCTCTAAAACATATAACATCAAAAATAAACAACAAAACTTTTTGTTAGTCATAGCATGTTAAACATGTTAACAGCAAAATTTGTCATATCAATAGTGTTTCATATCACTGGTATAGACGTTATTTGCATGGGTATAGTGTACTCTATATAAATAAAAACGTCCTGGTTATCAGTTGGCAATTATTATAACTTGTACGGACAAACGGGTTAACCTACAGACTGCATAAGCTGGACTAAATAAATTATGAGTAGTATTTTTTGAAATACATAACAATTAAATACACTTAGCATATACTGTAAATATATCAAATAGTTGCAAAAAATAATCAGACCACAATAATAACTTGTCTATATATTAACTAAGATATAATAGTACCTGCTTTCTCCTCAAATTCAATAATAGCAAATTTTCTTTTCTTATCAATGTCAATATTTTTCACTTTCCCCTCGCCATTTCCGTATTCAAGTTCAAAGTACATTGCCAGCATCTCCTTATTTGTGTTTTCCTTTAATCCAGAAATTCTTATACGAGGAATGTCCAGTGGCTCTAAAACCGATGCCATACCTGGAACTTATATAATTAAAGCATTGTATAAAGGTATAGTAAGTAAAATGGTGTGCTAAATAGTTGATGCTCCTTGCACATAACATTTACATAGTTAATGATATCATAAATTATAAGAATCATATAGTACAGTATTCCTTTTTTGCCTTATCACCTACATTTCTTATAAATGCCATATTTCTAATGTAAGATTGGAAATCTAATCAAGATAATATCTATGCCAGTTCTCTTTAATTCTAGCGTAATTTATTCCCTTATATTTAAAAACTGATAAAATAAATAAATTATTTTAGGCACACTAAATCTTTACAAATGCATTGTTACATGGGACATGTTTGATCAAATCTGGTTTTGTCGCGAATATACGTGGTACTGAAAGGGCTACGTATCATAAATGATTTTACATTTCATTTTTCTTAATTTATTTAATAAACAAGACGGTGCCTCGTGTTTATCTTTAACCACATAAAGGCATGTACATATTTACGAAATGATTGTGTTCAAATAACTTTGTGATAAACGTTTTCCTGTTGTGTATTATATAGGTTCTTATCTTGTTTCTCGTTTCCGCGTGCATGCTGTATTTAATTAACTAAAAGGTTTTTTGTGTTGTTTAATATAAACTTTAAGTATTTCTTTGAATTTGTTTAAAGATATACTATGCTCATCTTAAAGTAAAATATTTTGATCCTAGGAATTAATTGAAATCGATGTTATTCTTATTGAACATGTCAAATTCTAATAAAAGAATGTACAAACTATGTGTAGGAAGCTGCATATCCTATTACAGGTCAAGTAAAAGTGGTCCTTTCTTAGAAAAAACTGCCAATTTTTTTGAATCACAATATATACTTATTTTGTGTCAAGCTAAAGTGTGTGGTGTTTAAAACACGAAGTATCTACTTTATGTTTAGTCAATTTTGTCAAAACTTGTTTTTTATATTTTCAAAGAGACTGTCTAGCATTTATCAATATCTAAAATATAAAATTTGAGCATAGCATATCTTTAATTTTAATTAAGAGGGAGCATCTCTACATGCCTTATATCTACACGCAACTGTATAAGGTAAGTTTTAATCTTAGGACAAGACGTTATGACCTGTTAACTATATCTTTAAGTGAAGGAGGTATTTGTTTCAAAGTTTATACTTTTGTTAAATTGTTAATGACCGCAGAGCAATGTTAATGCCAAACATCTAAGCTCTTGGCATTGTTGCTTTACACAATAAGACATAAATGTTCTCTTTTTTATAAGTATGAATTTTAAGATATAAATTAAGGTCCCCTTCGGAGGGTTAATTTGTTTTGTGTGTAAGTCCTAAAACCAGGTTCGTTCTGGACTGTCATTAGAATGAACATTTCTGCTGTGTAGTTTGAATTTTCTTTCTTAGTTCAAAAGTTGCATGCTGAAACGAGATTGCTAACGAAGTGACCACCTGACGCATAACATGCTCGCCATTTCTTTCGGGCGCAAAAGACGTCAAGTGAAGACATGCTTGTTTCCATTCCCTTATAGGTACACTCACATCAGGGAAGACATTCTTGCAATTTTCGAAGACAGACAAAGGGTATTTATAAAGGAGCATTTCTTTTAAAGAATATTAAAAAGGTCGTTTTGTCTGAATGCCAAATAACACACCTAATGGAAACAAAATGTCGTTTGAAATAGGTGAAACAATAAGTTAGGGGTTCATGTCGATACAACGAGTTATCGAAATGGGTATAAATGTGCCGATGTGCAAACAAAGACCAACAGTCTTTAATAGTTAATAAGAACTGGTTCTTTTGAAAATACATTAGTATCTGTGGCAGGTGTTTTTAAAACAATTGTATTCGTACAAAGACATAATTCTTACACAAATCAAAAGAAAATGCTGAAGTCCAGAATACACACTTTATTACATTGAACTTAAAATAGGACATACACACTTGACAGTGTTGCCTGTACTTAGAGACAAAGTCCTATTCCTAATTTAGACACACATGCACAATACTGCATAACTAGGCAGTAATTTTGGTTTTGATAAATATGTCACCACTTTTTCTCATAAAGTTAAGCTGTAAATTCCATTTTTTTACATTTTTGTGAAAAAGTAGTTATCAAATCTATAAATAATTTGCTGCAATATTCCTTCAAATGTTAACATAGTATTCATCATAAATGAAGTACCAAAAACTTGAAAACTTCAAATTAAAATAAAAAAGGACTCAATAACTCTTTACCTTGAAATATCTTTATTACATTATCTTTTACAACTTTGTTTTTACTAGTAAAAAAGAACAAAATAAACACTAATTAATTGTTTCTGTTCTAAATAATCCTATTATTATATTAAGTGATATTGTTAGCACCATAAAAAGTTGTAATTTACTTTGGTATAAATTGAACAGAGGTGTGAAGATGTGAACTGGTGTGTTTGAAATGAAAGATGATTTCATTGTATTTATACAGTTGACTGGTTACTAAACAATAAGATATGACATGAATATATGTGGTAAATATTGTTTGGAAAAAAAAAGTTTGTTCAATCATTAAAGTTGTAAACATGTAATATTAACTTTAAATTAAGTAAATGATTTTTTCTTTGCTAAATAATGTTAGCAATTATTTTGTTTGACACTGTGTATTTATCCAAACTTTACTTTAATGAGTATATAAAAGTAATGGTACTGATACTTAATTACTTCCCCCTAAAAAAGAACTGGCACTGCAGTACCGAGCTAAAATCTAGTACTGGTAATGGTACTGCATAACTTGGCAAGTACTGGTACTGGTACTTAAGTACTACACCCTTAGAACTGATGCAGCTCTGCTAAAGACACATCGCTATTTCAAAAATAAGGTCATAGTCAACCACCAAGATGCTACAGTAACATGCATTATTCTTTAGTATTAAACAAGATTCCTTCAATGTTTCAGAGTGTCTGATATGAATACTACTGTTTCTCTTGTTTCATATTAAGATTTCTTCAATAGTGTCAATGATTAAGTACAAGAATAAAAATAATTTGATCTATGCTTCGTCTGTTTATTGATAAGTTCAACAATTAAAAAATTACTTAGCTCACCGAAAGTATCTACATCCACTTCAAAGCCGAACATTGTTAATGGTTTATGATCTAATACTCTATGAACAGCTGAAAAAAGTATCTATATATATTAGATATAAATTTAAAAATCTATAGCCAACAATTGATTATTTCGGGCTTTAAAAGAAATCCTATTTATAAATCTCACAATTAATAACTATTTACCACACTAGGGCGTTTCTGATGCAGCTTGTTTGGTCAATACAAACATACTTTGTATAAGAAAAAAATACATATTAAAAGAGAAAATGGGCCAATGTCAGCATCATGCTTTATTTAATTCCACTTTCATTTCAAATTTTGTTAAAACCCATAGCTAAATCAGAAAATATAAAAGTATATATAGGTTGTCTATGCTGGGGAAAAACATATGGACTAAAAGATTGTTTCTGAAACAAAATACAATATGTAGGGCAAGCTTGATTATCAAAGTTAAATTTAGCACCTCAAACTCCCCATGTAAAGTTAAAAATAACAATTTTTTACGCGAGTTCTCCAAGCATATAGAAAAGTTTTCCACAGAAATCCGTAACGTTTTCCAGGAACTTCATGACAGTTATCATAAGAACTCCAAACAAGTTATCATAAGAACTCCATCCTTCGTGTAACACTTCCTCCCCCGTGATGAAAGACAGTTACCGGATGTTATGTGATAACCTGTTTGAAATCCCTTTTGTTTTCCTGTCACATTTTAATGATAAAATACATTGAATATTAATTCACATTTTCATTCTAATGCTTATGCAAAGATGTTTAAATTTGATTGCAAGAAAATTGCGTATTTGTTTTAAACAGATAAGTTCCTATTGTTTATCTTCTTTCTATCTGTTTCGATTTCTGTTGATATTGCTCTTATAAATTATTATAGCTGTTGATGCTTTTATGCAAAGAAATCCAAAGACTATACTGGGAATGGACGTGACTGTAAAAGTACTTGGTAATTATCATAGGATGTCCATTAACTTTCATTAAACATTATTTTCGGAACGTTAGGCGACATATTATTCCGGCAGATAAGGTCCTGTAACTAAACAGTCTTACTTTTTATCTTTTACCAAGTAAGACAAATTTTATATATAATGATACGTTTCTATACCATTGTATACTTCAGATGTTCGATCTGTTCAAACAGATACCAAACTAAAATTTGCGATTGTTTGTTTTCATTCAATATCACAATATCAATTTGTTATCATAAATGATTTATATTGAAAATGTGTTTTCAAATGAAATATGAGGACGTATATCAACGAAGACCAACTACGTATTTCTATAATTTCATTATTATTTTGATACATTTGATACAGCCCCTAAATTGTATCATGCAGAATCACGATGTATAAAAATTACTGGACTTATGGCAAATATGAATAAACAGATGCTTGAAATGTTTTTTGATGAAGAAGAGAGGGATGGCGGCGGAAAAGTGAAAAGTATTGACCTTGATACCAAGAACAAATGCGCCATTGTTGAGTTCGAAGACGAGACAGGTAAACTGATTTGGTGCGGACAAAGTAGAAAATGAAAAGGTTTTATTTTGTATTGTTAGATATTGCATATTGCATGTTTCTTCAATGGCATAAAGAAACTTCTATTACCCATCTTTTTGTGCTGATTAGTTGTCCTTATCGCATCAGTGACTTGTATTTTCAATTTGATTATTTCTTGATTTCAACATTTATTTTAAAGGTGTTGATTTAATCATGAAAAGGACACCGATGACAATATTTGGGTTGCCAGTTCATATAGAAGTAACGGGTGAGTACAAAAATTAACTATTTATTAACATTTATAGAACTAACAGATGTCTCTCTGATCTACATGTGCACCAAATTTAATGTTATTTTCGTATTAAATAATTTTCCATATTTAAGAAAATAATTTCTTTGCTTATGTTCAAGTCTAAACTTTATGTAAATAAATACAATTACTTTTATTACCAATAATAAAATTTTTAGTGTTTTACCTTTTAAAGATTGCTTCAGTTGTCATTCCCCAACTAAACAAGTGCGAAACATAGGTTAATAGGGTGGTTTGTCTGTACATATGTCTGAACGTCCCATACGTATATCTTCAATCTTGTTCTAGTAATAACTTGATAAAGGAATATGCTAAGCCGTGGTTAGATCAGAAGATGACATTTTCAAATCTTGGGGTCAAAGGTAAAGGCACAAAAATACTCCTTAGTATAAAAATTTTCGATTTATGTCATCTTGGTTGGGTGGAGGTTTAGTTCATTGAGCGCTGCCTTTCCGTGTTGATCTTGTTTATCATATTTTACCTTATATTGACTTATATATTCCTATTTTTACGACAACGTAATAAAGTTTGGGTTAAAGTTTGCTATTTCTTGTTTGCTTTAAGTATTTCGATACACATATTCTTTTCTGTCTTTTAATTTTAAAAGAACAACATACTCGAAGTACTCGAGATCAATAAAGTGCATATAAATGAAAATTAATGCGTTAAACACATTTTCTTCAATTGGATTGGATTATAAACAATAAAAACACATGCAAGCATGCATTCATGTTGAAAAAAAATCTGGAAACAAAGTGATCCCTCGGAAGCATCAATCACAACAAAATTACAAGAGAATTGCAGACTCGGTTCGATTGAGTCTGCACATGAGGGATGATGAATACGTGCAACATCCCTCACGCACCGACTTGAGTGTTACTCAATTCTCAACACTTAATAGTGGTGGCATCAATGATCCCGTAGGACCAGAAAATAAAACAACACTGAAGTGAAGTACGGGGCAACTTTTTACAGCTGCCACACAGCACTTGACACCTGCTGTTGTGAAGTATAAAAATCTGGAAACAAAGTGATCCCTCGGAAACATCAATCACAACAAAATTACAAGAGAATTGCAGACTCTGTTTGATTAAGTCTGTACATGAGGGATAATGAATACGTTCAACATCCCAAAGCCAAGTTTGAAAAAGGGCCTATCTAGAAATAAATATTTTTACGTAACAAAATATACCTTTATTTAAAAAAAGTTAATATCATATCCATTGCTATGAACAACATATACATCTTTATTATGACAACTTAAGAGAATTTAAGTTTATTTCAATATTTCCAGTAGCTTTCGATAATTCGATACACTTGGGGTCACTGTGGGTCACAATATGCGCATTGTTTTCTATTTTACCCCATCCACCGAAACATAATAAAAAATACTTGAAAACAAAAAAAAACCACATGAAAATAGATAATAATTGCATGAAATCATAAATAAAGTAAAATAAAAAAGCACAAATTTTTTTTTTAATATTTCGGCGAATTTTGTTTTTCCCCTATTTTGGGGTGAAATTACCCCACCAACTTTAACAAAGTATATAACTTATAAAGTATGCAAATACGTATACTTGCATTTATTTATTATAACATCTTAAAACACACATAGTATTTATGAAAAACAAAACAATATAAGAATTTTAGTAGCTACTTGGAATATTGTTGTTATTTTAATTTAACCTTATCAGAAAACAATTAAAACATAATCCTAAAAATTTATATATTTCATTGTTATTTAATTTTAACATGATCATTCCTAAACTGCTAGTTCGCATTTTTATCAAAAAACGGCATCATCTTTGCTGTACAACTAACCACAATCATATATACAATAAGGTATACCCATCTTGCATAAAAGCGGCGTCCATATTGGACGCCATCTTGGATTCTGAAGCGTTGTGTACGATTTGGCTTTTTGTAAAAAAGAGACTATATACTTGCTCTGGTGTAAGTTTCAGACTTGGACAAAACATTTGATCAAATTTGGACCTTGGCTTTTACGCTATATGTTTTTTGCCGCTATCACAGGGCATTGTCTCATTGTATCAAAGTTACTGTCCCCTACTGTCATTTATATTTTAAATATATGACACTAGTAGAACTCAATCCATCCCTCTTGGAAAGCATATTAGCTTTGTAATCTACTACAGCTGTATTATATTTCAATTTCTTTGCAGAACTAACTCAGTTGTTCATTCAAACGATTTATGTAGCATCTTGACACGGGTCACTCGTGGAGTGGACTTCAAAAACGGTTGTATATACAGTCTCTTACGATCTTGTACAGGCGCTTATATGATCATAATAGGGCATGCCATCCGTATCAGTTTTTTTAAGTTTTAACCAAAAAAAATCATACACTGCTTACACGGATACAATCAAATGGCACGAGCATAACTCGGATAATGCAACAGTTGGTTCGGTTGTATGTACCGTTTACAGGGGTGGCCAACCGTATAAGCCATGTGTTTTATTTGAGACGGGCTTAAACCAATGCTAAAAATTTTTACCAACCAGTTGCAAAATATAGATCCAGAGAGAAGGACGGGCATGCAGTGCTTTTTTAATCAAGCTCTTCAAATTTGAAGTTTAAATATAGATTTTCATTTCGCAGTATTTATTTAAAACATTTCAAATGATGCGTTTCCGAATAATTTTAACTTTATGTTTTGATAAAGTACAATGAATTTCAATACGATAAATGAACAGTGAAGATAGTGCAGTTCAATACGATAAATGAACAATGAAGATAGTGCAGTTTAGTACGATAAATGAACAGTGAAGATAGTTCAGTTCAATACGGTAAATGAACAGTGACTGTAGATTTTTGAGGACTGGTTTGCACACGTTTTGAAACGAATGGGAAATGACCAGACGTATGGGCAATGGGGATGTGATCCGTATTTTGCCGTTTCTTTCTGCTAGGCAATGTAAAAGCGTGATAGTTTTTAATTCCTTTTACATGAAAAAAATGTGAAAGTCATTTGAGTTCCGAAAACTTCTTTATTGATTCTGTGGACTCGACAATGCAGAATTTTATGTGAATCTTTAGGTTTTTATTCAAAAATGGCAACACCATGTCATTTTCATTTTGCTGGATGTAAATGTGACAGGTTGTTTTTGTTTATTTTAGCACTTAAGAATATAATTAAGTTTATAAGTAATATTATGCTCCAAGGTTCAGGTAAAGTAGTTTAAATCGATTTTACCTCAAACTTTGTCAAAGGCTGAGGCGTTAATTGTTATTTTAGGAAACAATTAGGATGAGGGATTTAAGAAAGCCAAAGACAGATCCTAATTGTAAAATGTAAGAAGTAAAATTGGAAGCTGGTGAAGATGATAATGAAATGATCAGTATGTTAAATATCTAGACCTAAAGATTTCAAGCCCCAATCACTCAAATTGTGAAGTGATTTTCGCCATAGCTAATTATTTTTAAAGCTCTTAATTCATAAATTAGTTCTGAAAGCTGTATCAAATGATAATATTTGGATTTAAAACAAGTTAAAGTGATTTGTTTTTCTTTGTATTTCTCCTAATGAAACAAACTTAAACTAACTAACCTGCTTGTCGTGAAGAATCGGATTCTTTTGTATTATTTTTTGCGGGATTCTTTCTTGTAACTTTACTTGTGACTGACTCTGTTCAGAAAATAAAAACAGATTATTGGTATATTTAACAAGATGTTTTTTACTCTTGCTAACAGCAAATAAGAGCTTTAATCCCGGTTCTTAGAAGCTAAGTGTTTTGAACGGACAAGACTCTGGATGCAAACACCGTATCTTGTTTTTTATCGCCCAATTTTTTCCCCTCAAATTTGCAAAAGTAAAAATTAGCGAAACCTAAAACAAAACAAATGAAGTAAATATAGTTTGCGACATTTTCCTTTATTTTGGTTGACATAGTCTGCTAAAGGATATGCTTGTGATAAAATCAAGTGCTAGAATATCAGTAGTCTTGTTCTCTGAAATTTCAAAATTGCTTCCGTCGAATTAAAACATGTTTCATAAATCATCGAACATTTATCCTGAACCAAGCATTTTAAAATATTTAAGTACGTCGAGTCATTTTTTACTTGGAATTAACAGGTTAACAGTTTTTTTTATACAACATCAACATTTGCACCACCCATTGGACTACATGACTTTTATAGACTAACATAGGACAACAAATTTTAGTTTCATTATGTTCAGGTGTCAGTTAGTAAATATAGTTCTGTATCGGAAAATTATTGAAGTCCAATAATAGTGAAACTATAATGTCTTGTGTTAAGAAATTTGGCATGTAGCATTGCTTTGCTGACCTGTACAAGACTTGTATTAATTATAATTTATTATATTCATTACGTCTGTAATTGTTCGCTCCAGGTCATGTTTAAATTACTTTAAATATGAGTTTTGTTATAAGTGTTCTTAAAGGGAGAAACATGCAAAAGTTTCATTTCTTAGTTTTGAAATTTTCATTAATTATTCTGTAAATGTCCTCAAAAAAGAAACATTTAAAAATCAAAAGGGAAAAAAATTTTCTCCCCTATAAAAAAAAAATGGTGTTTTTTTTAAAATTGACCCCGCGGGGTCCCGGTGAGCAGCGTAAAAATTTAAAAATAGTTTTTTTACTTTTGTACTCTGAAAAGTTAAAAAAAAATGCAGACTTGTTTTCAAAACATACAAAATCCCCCCAAAACCCCCTTTTTGAATTCCAGGGGTTTTTTTCAAAACGCAAAAGACTTTTTTTTTTAAACATTCGGGGGATTCTGTTGGCGTCAAAAAATTTGTTCAAAATATATAGATTTTTTAAAATTTTAAACCCAAAATATATAGAAAAGGGAACCCGAAAATTTATGGCCCGGGGCTTTAAGAAATTTCTTTTAAAAGGGGATTTTGAACGAAAAAATTTTTTAAAATTTTTTGTCAATTTTGGCCCGAAAAATTTCCCTTTTTTAAAATCATAGTATAAATCAAATCCATTAATAAATTAGAAAGATATGGCCAATTTACCAAATTCACACACTTGACAAGTGTCAAGGTAAAATTAAGGTCAATATCAAGTTTCTTTTAATCAACTTTAATGTCCTGTATCAAATTTTTATACGTGCTTAAGTATGAAAACAATCAAATAATTACTTACAAAGCTTACAAATTGGGAAAAACTGTGATATTACAACAAATTGACATTCTTAATAATGGTAATTTTTGAGTCAAATTTCAAATTGTGTTCAATCTCTTTTCAATTATTATCTCTCAAGTAGTAGCCAGGTCTAAAGAGAACCCATATATAAATAGCAAAGTTTATGTATAGCAGTTTATAGAAAATACATATATCAAGCACTGTTCAATAATTTGATGTTTATTGTTAGGGTCATTGATGAGTGAAAGTCATAGTCAATATGGTCTACTTTGATATTTTGTTCAAAGGATAGTTGTATTCAAGTATTTAGACAATCGACAGATTAATAAAAATAGTACAGCAAACAAATTCAAACATTAAGGTCAAAGTCATTTATGAGTGAAGATCAGATTCAGTCTGATTAATATGAAGGTTTTGTCGGAAGAGTTGGCAAGTAGGACAATTCAATCAGATTTAATTCATATGACCATTACAACACGTCTGTAGAAAAAGCTATTTCTTTCTTCGAAAATGTCTTGTTAAAAAACAACAGAAAAACGCTCTAACGATTTATAAGTGACAGAACAATTCTAGTGATGTTAGAGCTTGATAAAATTGTTGATTTAAGTGTTGAATTTGACAATACTGGCAAATAATTGGATACAATAATACAATTAATTGTAATCCTGACACGTTTGTCTCGTTCCATGAATAAAGTAAAAAAAGCATGTGCTCTTTACAAGAAATTAGCGTTTTAAACCATGCATTGTACAACATTAAGACTGAGACACTGGTTCGTTAAGTTCATCTGGACAGATATATAGTGAATGTTGGAAATAAGAATTCCATTTTTAGCCTTTGTTATATAACAAAACTTCTATTTGTATATATTTATTCAGAAGTGGTAGTCAAGTCTGGAATTGCTTAATATATACATAATTTGAAACGTGAAATGATCCGCGGGGTGTTACTATTTTTATTAATTTAGAAGCAGTAATTTGATCAGCATGACAGGAAATTTGTATAAAAGCAAATTTTTGCATGACTAGAATTTTCAATATTTCAATCTAAGATGTTTATTACAGGAAATAAACTATCTTGGTATATATTTTCCATAGTCGTTCGACATAACTTATTATACTCAATTATTTGCGGTTAAAATTTTATACATAAAATAGGGATTTATGAATGATTAAAATTTATTAAGGAGAATATAGCTCAAATCGTATAATGTAGGTTCACAGCACGAAAGAGTACGTTTGCTTAAAAATGGATGATAATTTGCAGAAACCACATGTATTATATGAAAAGCCTTTTTTATGCACCTAACATAATCGCTTAAAATAGTCAAATAAAGTAATGCATTTATAATTTAAAACTATTGCTCTGAATAACCACCATCGCTAGAGCTAAAGGAATTATTATATTAACCTGAAACTAGCCTCTTTGCTGAAGAAAAGAATGACGCAAGACGTTTTCTTACTCCCCCTTCTGTAGTTTTACGTTCATTCTGTGATGTTTCTCCAGCTGAAATAAAATAAATTAGAATATATATTAAATTTCGACAAGATATGACGACCTGCAAGAAACCTAACTTTATTGTTTTTGTTAGCTGTCAGGATATTTGCATTAACTAAAAATGATTTAAAGTAGTTCTGCCAAATGTATTTGAGGAAAAAAATACAAAATTCTTCTGAAAAATTAAGTAAGCAAAGCCATGAACAAAACATGAACAACAAACAAGTTTCTGATTCATTTACATATTCATAATCGGAGCCACAAAGTTGATCGATGGTTTCATCTCCGAGGCATACACCATCATTACCGATTTGTGAACATTTATTGTCACTTTCCGAGGCTTCAGCGACTGAAATTTTAATTAACGAGCAAATTATACACAGAGTATGAGTTGTTTAAAAAAATATACCAGGGGCATATTTTAAGTGGCAACAGATCTTTTTAAAATTAGGCATGATTTGTATGTGAAAAAACTAGCAGATCATCAAAAGACATGCGTTCCTATATACTGGTTGTAAACATGGCTGAGTAACATTTTGATCTGAGAGAGGAGCAAAGAGCTGATAGCAAAATTCATGGGAAATTGGATAAACGCGCGGCAGAAATCAAAACGGGTCTAAATTAAGTTTATTGGGAAAATGCCCTTCCATATCGTACAATAGTCAGGTGTGAGAAGGTAAAACTAGTGTTATGATGATCCCGCTACTTCTGAAAAAGACATCAGCACTATCAAAGAAATAAATGATGAAGATACAAGATATACCGTGGAGGGGATAAATAACATATTGGGCCTTAGTGTGTTATATATGCCTTCTATCTTGAAAGAAAAGTTAAAGTCAAGGAAAGTGTGCGTCCGTTTAACCACTTGCAAAAAAGTGCATTTTCTTAAAATAGGCAATAATTTACAGAAAGCACATGCAATAAAGCGCATTTCTATATCAAATATATGTTTTTTTATTTATCATAAAATCTAAAGTGTCACTTGCGGGCTACTTTCCATGAAACTCTAAACAATACTTGACAAGTAAGTAAAGGTAAATAAAACTACCAAGAACATATTGTTCCCACAATAATAATGCCAAATTGCCCTTATAAATCTAAGATATATTCATTCTAACGTCCAAACAGTATTAGTACTATTCATAATACAAATATATTTTCATGAAAAAACATGTTTGATTTTCAACATTGGGCCATGTTGATATACGTCATAGATGTGTCGTTAAATATATAACCTTATTCAAGTCTAACATAACTTTGCAAAAACTGATTTATAAGTGTGCACTCAAATGCATTTTACTTTGATTATACAAGTTACTATTTTGCTTCAATGAAATATTTTCCATAAATATCAGGTATGCCGTCCAACCAAGCATTTAAGCTTGTTTCTAGATTTTGCAAGAAGATGCATTCTCTATTACAGGACAGAAAAAAGTTGTTCCTTTTCTTTTTAAACATGCCAGGTTGACACAACATATTCCAACTGTGACCACTAATAGTATGCAGAATTTAAAACAACTTATCAATTTCATGTGAGGTAAAACACGCTTATTTCGTATTTACAAAGACACTGTGTAACAATTATCAATATTGTGTAATATTGAGTATAGTATATATTTAAATTAAGCCCATGAAATTATAAATAATCATACCAGCGCTCAAAAGCTTCGCATGTTCATCATCATAAGCAAACTGTTGATCGGTTGTTTCATCTCCTTGGGCGGCGTACGCATAATCGATTTGTGCACCTATATTGTCATTTACTTTTTCAACTAAAATGTAAATCATCATAAATTTTCATTTATACAAAGTGTATAAAGTGATATAATTATATTTATCTTATGATTTTCTCTTTGATTGAATATAAGAAACTTTTATATTTTACTCTTATAGTTTTTTTTTGAAAGTTAGCGTATATTAACAATAAACTTAACATAGTATAAATACAGTCAATTACGACAGAAAATAATTTATGCAAGCTTATAAGAGCCCTTTCCTTATTTAAAACATTTGTTTTATTATTTTACCTGTTGATATAAATATAGCATAACATAATTATAGTTTAACTGATTCTGTAGCTTTAAATAAAAAGGAAGACAGAGAGTTTTGATAAGAACTCTAAATATTTATGTTGCTTATGATAAAAATAACGAGGCATTCTTTTGAAAAGCAGGTTTGTTATCCGTTAGCAGTTACTGTAATTTATACATTGCAGTTACTTAATTTTCTACGTTAAAATGTTTTACTTTTAAATAAAACACTGACGAAAAGTAAATTAAAAGTAATTGCATTTGTTTTATTGAATAGAGTTGAATTACCTTGTTAGAGAATACTAAATGTTGGCAAACAAATATTTATATATCACTGAATAATCAATCGTGTTCTTAGACGGGTATACCTCTGACATATATGTAAGTAGAGGTGAAGTGTTTCTACTTCAACAGTTCTTTACAACAACTATTTATAACTTACCAATAATTTCTACTTCAACTTCTAATCCATTAATTATTAAAGGTTTATTGTCCAATATTCTTTTCACAGCTAAAAAGAAAGTACTGACTTTGATTACAAATGTATGAGTGCAGCAAATATAAAGTGGTAGACATATTTTATTTTAAATGTACATTTTTAAACGGCGACGCACCTTAATGGTGATTCTGTCAAATTGACTTTTTAGTAATAAATTAAATCTCATAAGTTATAAAAATAAAAATTGTGCGTTGCTAAATGTCAGCAATTTTGTTCATGTTGCACAATAGTGGAAAAGCTACTGACCTATTTAAGGAAAATTGTGGGCCACTATGTTACAGCTCTTATCAAATGGAGTAATAGCAACATGATATAGCACTTGAAGTGGAATCAAAGTAAAAATGTTCTTTCTTTCTTTCTTTCTTGCTTGTATTATTCACTCCAGGGGCATTTTTAACATAAATTTTGCAGTCATTCATAAGGTATTGCTACATGCTTAACAACTTAGCTATACAAAAATGGCATTATACTTTCACAAAATAGTCTGAAATGTGTTGTAAGGACTTAATCAACTAAATGATCCCAGAAGTGAGTTAAGATCTACCAAAGGGGCAAGGCTTATACCAGTTTTGTAGAAGCTAACAAGGCAGTGCTATGTGTAAAATATCTTACTTCTCGACAATTTAATTTCACCAAAATAAGGCTTAAATTTGTGTTCCTTCACAAATTGTATTAACTATTAACTAAGTGCCCTACAACTCAATCAGATTTCTTTGTGATCCGAAAGTGGTGTTACATGCCAATTATTTAAGCCGGGAAGTTTTACACAAGAAGTGTCAGATCAAGTAATGTCCGGGCTGGAGCTAATTCTGTTCTCTTGTGTTCTGCACGCAATCTTATTATAATTATACTCGTATGTAATATTTCTGTGAAAATGTTTTGATTTTGTTCTATCAGTTCAAAAATACAGAGCGGATACAAAATTTTAAATTTGATTCAAAAAGAGTAAAACCTGCGCTCTGAACATTATCTAATTATTGTTAGTATTTCTGCCTAGTAGTTTTAATTTTTTTCTTTTACTGCTTCGAGAGACAGACCAAACACTAAACTGTTAAACGGTGGACGAAAGACCAGGTGCATAACCATTTACGCTAAAAGAATATGCAATTCTTGAATTTTCTGACAAACTATCGATTGGTTATCCGTTGCTAGAAATCATATGAGTATAAAACTCAGCTATCGTCTCTTATTATTTGACAGAAATATCAATATTTCTTGTTTCTATGAGTACCTATTTTAAAATATAACAGAAGCAATTAAGACAAGATAAACAATTTACAAATTTTGATTTTGTCAGCAACGTGTTTTACTTATAAATTATATCATATTATAAAATATAAAATTATATTAAATGATTTTCACCTGAATTGTCTTCAAACTCGATGACGGCACTTTGGATTTTGCTATCAAGTTCAATATGTTTCACTTTTCCGCCGCCATTCTCCAGGTATTTTTCGAAAAATGATTTAAGCAACTCTTTATTGAAATTTTCTTTTAACCGAGAAATTTTGATACATGATGACTTTGCGCAAGTGATATTATTCGCCGTTCCTGAATAAATGAATGAAATATATATTGCAGTTTACATATATTGTCAAATAATTAGCATTCATAAACTAGCCTTACAATATGTGTTGCCTATGCCTAAATCACAAATAAAACGATTTAACGATTTTTACAGTATCAGCGGTTTTGACGATCTCGCGAACGCCGGGCGATTTTAAATCTGATACCTTGCCTGGTCATGAATGAAAGGGTCGTCGGGCGGTTTTAGCCGAATCGAATTTGCAGAAAGCATTCAAAGGATCGGGCAGTCGCCGCCCGATGTTCGGACGGCGCCTTTAAAATTCATAAATGGATCGGAAGGTCGCTGCGTGGGCGAATGACGGTAAAAGCTTTACATTTTATTATATTCCTCTATAAATCAGCCAGTTGTCAATACTACAGCAAAGAAGGCAGTTGCTGGAGGCATATATAGTCCTTCTCTACAGTAATCGCTTCATTCACAGACCTTTTCCTACGGCCACCTCTGTGCTGACCAATGTCATTACCTGGTGATAATAGTTCGCCAACGGGTGTCTATTCGGGAGCCAAGCGAGGTTTTTATAACTCCAACGTAGGACTTTTTAACTCCTACGTAGGAAACATATAAAAGTGCTGAAAGCACAGGCATGTAACTTAGGATAACATATTTTGTAGGAAAATAAATTATATATGTCAAATTGTTATTGTGGCAAGCTGCTTAATTTAATCCCCTTATTAGTAGTCAGAGATGTCTTTGAGCGAAATAACCAGGATATAATTTATTGTTAAACTTATGCACTAATGCATGCATAATGATTCGCAAATCGCAATTTTACGGAGCTTAAACAAGACTCTTCAACCCCCCCCCCCCGTCTCCTTGCCCCGTACAAGAATAAATTCATTCGAAACGACAAAAAATGGATAAGTTGCTCGTTTTGTTCAGCTAGTTTGTTTGGAAAATGTATTCTTTAAACCCTTTCAAAATTTTGATATATCCATATTTTAGACATTTAAATGCTTGTTTTCGAGTAAAATTTTCGAAGTGCTGTAAAGCAATTTTCGGGATACATCGCAAATGCTTACAGACACCGTAACCCAAGACACTTCACACTCAAGAAACCTGAGACGCTTTATTGAAACGTGAAGTGTCCTCATAATTCAAGATTTGAAATTTTAGTTAGGGGGGGGGGGGGGGTTAAGTCTCTTGTTCAATGGCTGATATACCGGTCCGGAATGTTGAGATTTGCACAGCATTCTGTATGCTTTAAAACCCTATGTAGTTACAAAGTCCTAATTAGGCTTTTTTATTTCCTACGTAGGAGAAATCCTTTTTTATGGAACATGTTGAAATAGCACCATGACGCTTCCGTACATTTCACAGACGCGATCTATATTCAAATAAATATAATTTTAATCAGAGACATAATCAGACCCAGTCTTCAATTTTTATAACAATAAAATTATAATATAGTTCCCATTTTGCCTTCGAGGGATCACCACTTTTCACCATTTTTCAAGAGTTTTAACATTCACTTGAAACAAGCATTTGTGCAACGTTCCTTAAAGAAAAGAAAATAATGTCAATTGCTCTTTTTTCGATTTAGAATTTAATAAAGATTCAAATTTATTGATATTCATCAAAATATTCCTTAGGACTTTAAATAAATTTAACTCAATATTCTTTCTTTATTAGCAAAATATAAAAACTTCGAAATGTTGTATTTTTCGATTTAAGATTTAATTAAGATTCAAATTTATTAATAGTCGGCCTGCTACAGAAATATCCCTTTAAAAACTTTTTTCTAAGCTCTCTATATCTAGGACAAACCGTCAAAAAATGAAACTTCGTTTCAACTCTCTTCATGTTACAGGTCTTACATGACCGTTGCTCTCGGGGAGTATTCGTATATCTTCCGGATTCTTTGAATAGCTTATGTGCAGATACCCGAAATTTTGATAAAGTTGTCATACATTTTCTATCTTGTATGAAATCAATATATCTCTCGCGTTCAAAAGTGTGTTTAAATAAACTATATCTTTGTAATCGCGGGGAAGTATTTATTTATTTCTGCGTACCATGACTGCTTATAAATGTCCAGGATTCTACGCTTTATTATATCAAATATAACATTATCTATAACTTGATTATTCCATACGTAACCGAAACAATGCTCTTCGAATATTGTGCCCAAGTTTTGTTTCTATACGTGACGTTGATATCCGTGTCAATTTTTAGGACACTGTATGTTTTGAACGTTAGTGACAAGTAGTCATGCGAAATAAGTTTTCTGCAATATTTCAAAATAGATATTTTTCGGTAAATAATTAGAGGGACTCTAGCAAGCTCCCCATACAAGGCTGATAAGTTTGTTGATTATCGCACCCCTAGAATATACCTCAAGAATTTTGAATGTATCATTTCAATATCAGTGGCTTTATGTGTCCCCCAAATTTCTAAACAAAAATGCAACATGGATCAAACTAACATATCAAATAATTGAATCTTTTTTGAGTTAGGCAATTCAAGTTGCCGAAAAATAGAAAACATGTTATGCAGTGAAAACGAGGCATGATCGGCAAATATTTTCTGAGTGCGTGCCCAGTTAGCATTCACACAGAGATATTTAAAGGAGTTAACCAGTTCAATTTTTACCGTATATATAGATATCTGCGAAAGTACTTCTGCATTTTCAAAAACCATGGCCTTCGTTTTGCTAACATTTATTTTCATACCCCATGTAGAGCGGTAATTCTCGATATAGGTAAGCATAAACTGAATAGACCTTGTGTTGATAAGTTTCATTTCTTTTAATATTTCACATGCCCACGCAGGCGGCTACATCGGCTGTACCGGGTTACTTAAACCAGATGGGGTTGTGTTAATAAGTTCTAAAAAAGCTCCGTGTTGAGAATATGGGAGAAAATACATTCCACAACTCGTGTTATCCTTAAAGTTAAACCGCTTGTAGTAATATTCGTGTTATCCGAATCACAATTTACATGACTGATTTTATCTGTACTTTTACACGTGTCCAAAGGTGATATAACTTTTCGCTTATTTTTCTTCTTTTTTCCTGCACTAGTTTGGCTATTTGCTATTCCAGACATAAATAATAATGTTTAAAACACTGGATTAGAACAAAAATTCCAAGAAGCGCTGTATATTTTACGTAAATAATTAAAATTTAATAAGAGCTAAAAAAAAAAGTCCATGTCGATCTCAAAATCATGACCTTTAATATTGTTCTTCTCAAAATTGATGAAATATGTTACCCTATCAAAGTTTTAACAATTGTTTGACCTTTCGTACTAAGATAGCCTTAATAATCCTTATAAAATAATATCAATTGAAGAGTTGTGTTCCTTATTTTTTGCATAAATATTTAAATATTAAATACTTTTGCGATGAGGTTTTGATTTATTTAGACTTTGAAAATATCAGGTACCATTTCATGCATTCAATTTAGCATTAATTAGCCAATAAATACCTACATTAATTATATAATTAAATTAAACAAAAAGTTCACGCCCCTCAGCTTCAAGGAAGTTGACAGTAATTCTAGCCCATTATAATACTCTTCATTGCGGAAGTTATGCATAAGGAGATCTTTCTTAAGTATTTTTTTATCTCTTACGTGACATAGATAGTTTAGATCATATTAAGTCCTATTAAGCAACCGACACGTCCTGGACTTTATATAATTTAAAATAACAACGGAATTAATACGGATTGAAGTTTATATCACTTGGTTCCAGAGGTAAACAAAACCAGAGCGCATAGTCTTTGATAATATATAACGAATGAACGTATTGGCATACATTTGAAAATAAAGGCTACTTCGGTAAAATAGGATTGAAAATATGTTTGACAATCACAACCAATTGAAAGGTGCCCACTATTGTAGAATTATAAACAAAAACAAATATAAATCAACTGGTAGACATTTTGAGTATTCGAATTCTACAAGCATAACAAAGTATATACATTATGTACTGTTTAATTTGATATTTATAAACGTACTTTTTTTAGATGAAATTTTACTAGACTTATTGGAACAAACATAGGACAGTTAAAACTCAAATCATTAAATCACGTTAGTCTCTAAGCGTAGTTCAGACTATTCTGTGTATTTTTGCTATTATGTTCGAGGTCATTTTCCGAAAATGCCAGAAAGTTGCGATTGCATAAAAGTATCAACTGTAAAACCTTTGAACCTTCATGCATGCCAAGTCATTTTGATTGTGAAACGTATCTTTAAATGGTTTGCACATGGTTTCTGTATAAGAACTTAAGCAAGTAATATTTTTGTCATTAAAATTATCTATCAAAGCATCGTATGATGCTGATTGTACTTGATTGATATTTCAATAACACACATCAATTGACCGAGATTATAGGTTACGTAATTTGTTCATTTCAATTTTAAAATGGGAGAGAAATGTTGTCGTTTCAGTATGATAAGATAATAACATGAAGTTAACATAATTATATAGATTATTTAGTATAATGATTGATTCACGTTACAAATAAAAATCGATTTGTAAAATAACTTAAATAAAATAAATTAGTTAGTTGACATTTAAGCTTACAGAACGGACATTAGGAGAGAAGCCAAGAGTGATTCTTAGTCGTAAACCTTTTTAAATACTTAAGCAAATAATTTTAAAATCAAAGTAAGTACTTTGTCTTGTCATTAGCCACTACATACAATTATCAACTATTCATCTAACACTTATCACGGTCCTATAAGATAAAGAAATACCTTTCTCCTTCGGCCCTGGATTAAGTTCAATCCCAGCAACTATTAAAAGGATTCCGATGAATATCACACATCCTACAGTTTTAAATTCACCGCAAATGTTGGGGATAGTTTTTACATCGCTGCCTTGGGAATGACTGTAAGTACCAATTCTTGCTCGATACGTTTGAATATCCACACCCATCTTTTCTAGATAAATGTAAATATTGATGATTACTTTGTCATGAAAACAAGTTAATGAGAGACTACTGAATGACGCGTCTATCTAAAATTAAGACGACATTTTAAAAATTATTTGACTTTTCTATATATATTTTAATATAGAGCACTTTGGGCACTAGTTTGTGTTATCCGCAGCCATTAGATTGTCTTTAAATAAGATAACTTAGATGTATATGCATATATTCCTTTGATTAAGATTATTTTATTAAGTTATTGGGCCTAAAATAGGATTAAAATACTATAATACTTACTTACTCAACAAAACGCGTATTCGCCCCGAGGGTGATATAGAGGATATTTGTTTAGTTCAGTGTAAGATCGGAATATATTTCACCGAGTGAGCACCAAAAGGTATATTTCACGAGTGGCGCAGCCACGAGTGAAATATGAACTTTTGGTGTTCACAAGGTGAAATATATTTCGATCTTACACTAAATTAAACAAATTTTCTTTTTATTATATGCAAAGAAACGTTTTAAAAAGACATTAAACCTAATACTGAATGAAAAGCGCGCCAAATAATAATACAACGTGACGTCATTTACGACGTCACGTCATTAAGTTGGTACCCAGTACTGTGCACGCTGGTATTTCACTGAAACAACGTAAGGGGCTTAAAATTCAAAACAGTGAAATTATCACTTTATATCACTTATATATTTCTATAAACCATCGAAAAGCATGTAATAAAACATGATACCTTTATACACTGTGAGTACAATACCGATTTATATTAAAAACACATAGCTTAAACCTCACTTTTGGATAAGATGCTATCTACTGTTTTGCAATTTCTGTGTACATTTTAAGGGTTAAGGTACTGGTTTAGCCAAACAATTGTAAAGCATATGGTGTTTACACACGTCTATTAATTGTAACGACTAAATAGCAATTTGACAAAAATCTTGACCCCAGGGCTATAATTTGAACAATCTTGGTAGAGGTCTACCAGACAATGCCTTATGCAAAATATCTTAGCTCCAGGCCATGTGGGTCTTTATTAGATTTTTTTTATTTATTCTTATAACTCTTTTTGGTTTTCATGGCAACCATAATTCTGCAAATTCTTTGAACAACTTTGGAAGGCCTTTACTCAAGGAAGAATCCTACCAAATTTGGTTGAAATGGGCCTAATGGTTTTTCACAAGAAGATTTTTAAGTTCACTTTATAATCTGTATAACACACACACACACACACACACACACGCACGCACGCACGCACGCACGCACGCACGCACGCACGCACGCACGCACACACACACACACACCAACACACACGCACACGCGCGCGCGCATGCACACGCGCGCGCGCGCACACACAGATGCTTCGATGGCATAAAAACTAATAAATCCACAATTGCATTTGTGTTTCCTTAAACCACAAATGATCAACGTAAAAAGATTCAAATGAATGTTTATTGTCATTGTTATCTGGACATTCGCCTTATTCCTATTCAAAAAACAATTCCGACTGAATGTCATCTTCGGATTTACCCGTAGCTACATCTATTGGTTGAGGGTTGTCACGTGACGTTCCGCTGTCATGAATACGATTCCCGTGTTTAGAAACGACACACATGAAATCCTAAACTACAAAGAGGTACTCGCCCATAAGCCAGAAAACAGCACGTTATATTTCCGAGGTACTCAGCTTAAAGCACACATGAAATGCACAGGTGTGTCGTAGTTAATAGATGCAGTTTACGAGGTACATAAAGCGAGGTAACGGGAAAAGTACCTCGGTATGTTTTGGTTCCTCGGTACGTGGGTTTGTACTCATATAATTTACGTCGGACATTTAACTCTAACTCTTACCCTTCACCTATTCCTAACCATAAACTAAACATAATGTCTGAACAATGTTAGGCTTCAACACATTCTCCTCGCTATGTCAGGTAAACCGCCCCTCCCCCCCCCCACACACACACACAAACACTCCCCTTCCCCCACACATTATATTTCGGTAGCGTCTCCTATCCAACTGTGAAACAAACTTATTTCAGCGAAATAGACGACCATTTCATTTAAGTTTGAAATTCTGTTTAATTTGTGTAAAACAATTGAAAATGATGGTTATTGATTATTATTCAGGTAATGCAACACATAACAAAATAATTGCAAATGCCACGTAAGTCATAGGTGCGGTCATTGACAGTGGCCTTATTTTACCTTCATCCAATGTCACGGGATCACCCAACCTGAATTAACAGTAAATCTATGTGTTTAATGAAATATTGAGTCTACCAAACATAAGAGAAGCAAGTGATAAACTCAGTCAAGTATTAAACAAACTTTATAATAAAATCCTTACTGTGGATAAATCAACTGCATTTGTATATTTCCATTTCTCTTATCCAACTGTGAAACAAACTTATTTCAGCGAAATAGACGACCATTTCATTTAAGTTTGAAATTCTGTTTATTGTGTTTAAAACAATTATAAAATAAAATTAAACTAAAACATACCGTGATTTATTCCTTAATTTAGCAATGTTTGTCCTGAATAAATTCAGCCGTCTTCACATATCTAATGACAATTAAACATCAACAAGTAAAGATTGCTGATATGAGATATAAGAACACGTGACTTCGAGGTATACAAACTGTCCAATCACTGCAACCAGAAAATAATAGCGGCGAAATCGGGGGACGTCAACGATAGTTATAATGATCTCGGATTTAGATCTTCAGCGTGACCTCAGATGTAAACAGACAAAGAGTGTGATCTTTTAACAATGCGCAAGGATTGTATTTATTCATCATTTGTAAAAATATTATAGAAACTATGTCTAACGATAGAAGTAAACATTGTCAACCTAATATAACCAAATACGAAACTGTTGCAGGTATGCGGATATTACTTCCGGTTTCTAAAAAACATAAGCCAAAAAACTGCAGTAACTTACAAGAAAGAAATAATGATTTGCAGTTTTGCGATCAACACCCGACAATACTACGTTTATATTTGCGCAAATGTGCAAAGAAAATTCCATTTCGTTTATAGCAGTACTCGTTTTATACTGTGAAAGTACAGGTCAATGTAAAAGTGAAAGCTAACAAATTATTGTGCCAGTCATTTAGGACCACGTATCATATTCAAATAAAGAGTGCTGACACGTTTGTAATGGTTTATCGTTATGCCTTGGACGTATATTAATTACATGTATATAACGATTAAACGATAATATATACTGTTGATAAACAAAGGATTTTGAAAATCAACATAGTTGATATCAATTAAATGCATTATACAATCCGTTAACAAATCTAACCCCAAAAAAGAGCACACGTGTGACCACCTAGCTTTTCTTTATAATAAGCTATAAACGTTTTTGGATCGCGCAACACTATACAAACAAAAATTACAGAGCTTTAAAAGCTATATAATTATTTTTTCGTAACAAACTAGATATATTTATATATCAAGATGTTTTATGACAATTCAATGTAAGAGCTCTAACACAGATGTGACTTGTTTAATCAAAAATAGTACCCTTTTGATGGAGACAACGTGTTTACGTAGATTTAATTTAAGCCTGGTTCCACGATATTTAGTCTCGGTTAACTACCCTTATTACATGAAAACGGACAGTGGTACATTCAAGTTGTACATTCCATTATATTTATATCGAGATAAGAAAACTTTGTATTTTCATTTAAAGAAAATGTAAGTAAAATATTTTGCAATAAAGCAATAAATTTCAAATGGGTCCCAAAGTATAACAGTGATGTGTTTTGTTTATGTACTTATGGAGTCGTAAAATAAATCTTGTAATTACAGTAAATCATGCATCTTATTCAAAATCATATAAGACTCGGCTGCTTCGCGCTGAATAAAATGATGTTTCCGAAACATTAGAGTGTTGTATTACGCTAGCGTTTTATATTTTACAGTTTTACCAAAGGACACATTACTTTGTTTATCTCAAAGAAGAACAAACTCATTAACATATAGCGTGCAGACTAATTATTGAAATTATTGTGTGCACCAACACGAAAACAATAATGATAAAGCGTCTACTAGATATATTGCTATTGTTTTCATTCATTTTTGAACCATGTATTGTGTATTATGTATGAATACCTTAACTTACATGGTGAATTTCTTTCGAAAATCTAAAATAAGTTTGATGTAGACGATAATATACACATTTTATTTATACACGACAAGGTAGTTGTCAGCCCTGCTCATATTTCTACTATCAACCAATTTTATCTCACCTGGGCACAAAGCTACCAGAGATTGTTTTCTTCTATTTTTTGTAATGGCAATAGTTATTATACTTTTTAAACAATATCTTCCGATAAACCTACAGGAGGAATGTGACCGAACTTCGTAGGAATAATAAAATATATGGGAATCCTTGATAAATAAGGACATCACAAGAGCTATAAATGAATTTTAAAAATTAAATAGATAAACAAAAATTGTTTTCTATACGCGTGTGTTGCCATAAGATATTTAGCATGTAACATTGCGTAACGGACCTCAAAATTATATATACGTATATCCTGTCTCTGAGGTTATATATATGGCATTTGTCCTGGTTGCCCCTCATCTAACCTTATTTATTAAAATCTTGCCAATAGAACCTGAAATTCCAAAAATATTCCTATTTGAATGTTGAGCACGGCTGTGAAGCTGGCTAGCCATTTAGCAAACATTAAGCTCGACATTCGTTTTAAGTCTTTTTATGAATGTCGAGCTGGATGTGAAGGTAACTAGACATTTAACACAACATTCAGCTCGACATTCATTTTTTATTTGTTTCTTTTTTTTAAACGTTGAGCTGGAATGTGAAGCTGGCTGGACGTTCAACACAACACTCAACTCGACTTTCGATTTTTCTTTATCTTTTGAATATCAAACTTAAGGTTGTAAACCTTGCTGGACTTTCAGCACAACGTGTTTTTTTAACGTTGAGCTGGGACTGTGACGTCGGCTAGAAATTAAGCAATTAT